TCATTTTCTGATAAAATGGTAGGTTTTCAGCCTAATAAAAATGGATCCAAACACGCCCTTACTGGTTTATGAATAATTACGATTCAATCCACATAGGTCGAATTCTAAATTTTGAAAATGTGATGATGGGAACAGATGGGTGATTTCCAAGCAGGATCTTCAGAGCCACAAGCTACAATTGCCCCGCCTAAGTCCCCTTCTCAAGGTTTGCTTGCACACCTCTTGTTTCAATTGAATATATAGTATTGTGCATGCTTTTGTTAGGACGAGTACCTAGTCCTACTTCCACTATTGATTAAATAAATCACATGTAGTTTTTAAAAACATTAGATAAATTATAATAGGCAGATAATTGTGTCAAGTCTAAAAGAAACAAGAAGAGAATCCAAACCTTCAAACAATTTGAAAGCGCAATCTCTTCCATTTTCTTCACCAAGAAAACTTTAGTTCTGCTTGGGTTCATTTCATAACTAAATACTTTTAGTGAATAACATATTCTAATGAGTACTAGTACTCTAGTGCACGCGATGTGCGCACGATATATTACATATTTGCTAACTAAATTTCGATAGTTCGATTGCAATAGAATGTCACCTAAAGTTTTTTTTTTCCATTTCACTTCAATATGAAAACTATGTATAGTTTTTAGTTTATTTTTCTTTTTTGAATCAAATGAAATTAGAGAGATACTTTATTCGCATCATTACCATGACATTCGTTATTTGTAGTGTAAGGCACATAGGAAGATTAAATTAGAAAATACTTTCTGTCTAAAATCTATAATAATTGAGTTGGGCTGTAGATAACGCCTCCAATCATCTGCCCCTCAACCAACTACATCATAATTATCATAATAATCTATATTAGAATAAATATTAAAATAACTCAAATACATATGGTTTTAGAGAGAGGTACCATAATAATCTACAAAGACTAAGAATAAAAAAAATTGAATCAACCGTTGATTGGAAATCCTCTAGTCATTTGTGTTACCTTATAAAGAACCACGATATGATCCGTTGAACTTTTAAATATAATACCAAGTATCAATTGCAGTTTTAGTGTCTTTATCCAAGAATTCAAGAACAAATAACCCGCCTCTGTTTCTTATTCTCCCTTGCATATACGCAAGAGGGGTGAAGTGACGATTCATGAAGCTAAGGACGTGCTTGGTGGGTTTTCCTCCAAAATTTGTTATTGTTTTAAAATTTCCAAATTTGCCCCTTAAATGAGTTGAAAGAATTATAAATATTGAGGGGGTAGTTTGTGGGTTTTTAAGAATTTGACACAAATGACCAAAGCGAAAGCTTTTCTTAAATAGTAGTTTAGATGAATTTTAAACAGGTTTGAGATGTGAAAGGGATTCATTAAAACATAGATTATTAGATCTGCATTAAACATAGAGCATGACTCCTATCAGAACGTCTTGCGTGGTGCGGGACGCGTTGCGCCTATCAGGGACTAAATGTGTTAATAACGTCCAACTCTATGCATGATTTTAGATTGCCTTCCACCATGGAACCGTTTTGACAAGATATAACTAATTTTCCATGTCAAAAAGTTAACTTTAAAAAAATCCCTATAATCATGCGAAAACACAATAGAGGGACTAAGTTATAAAATTTTAGGTGATCAATAGTAAGAAACCCAAATCTAAAAACATAGATTAAAGTTGTTAACATGTTGATGCTTATGGTTGGCCTGGGACGCAGATGCCAGCGGCAAGCCCCGCTCATCCAACCGAGACTTACCCGCACTGCCATTGCCAAAGCCAACCAAGCGCTCCAACTTCGCACTGCCGCCAGGCCGCCAAAACTCGCAGCGACTGCGCCGCGCACAACGAGGCACTCGGAGAGCGGCACCGACTGTTACGAGGCATCGCGAGCTCCCGCCGGAGCAGAGAAGCCTGACGTGGGCCTCGACGCAGAAGGAGAGACCGCAGCGGCACCGCAGGCAGCGACATCCCCAGCTACACCTCGTCGTCGCTGCAGGACTCGCCTGCACCTGCGACCAGCAAGCACAGGAGGAGGAAGGTGAAGGGGTCGTCGTCGAGCAGCAGCAGTACGTCGAAGGGATCGAGGTTGAAGGGGGCCGAGAAGCAGCTGTCGCCGGTGTTTAAGCCCGTGAGAGATGATGAAGATGAAGGCTGATGATTGGGATGCCACTGTTTTCTGTTGCTGTGTTCTTGTACAAAGAGATTTATTACGATAGGTTTATTTCTGAGGGGTTTAGTGTTGTTTTTGAGCCATAGGTACTAATTTATCCTTAATGTGTAAATTGGCAATAAGGAGGTTATTAGAGTAATGCGTCATGAACTTTTGCTAATATTATCCAGATTTGAATTTTTTGTTTACGTCCTGGTCAGGAGTAAAGACATCAATGTTTATTGTCAAGGAGCAGAGGGCCTATGGCAACAGGGAAACTGTGAAACCGTACACAGCATTGCGAAAAGCAATCAGTTTTGGATCTAAAATTGCCAAAACGAAATTAATTGCAATTATAGTTCGAAACATTGCACTGCAAAAGGCTACCAACGTGGATCTAAAATTGCAACGAGGAAACTGTGAAACTGTACGATGTCAACTTTTTAAAGCAACAAAAACATGTCATTTCTTGCAAAATTGCCGACAACAACCCCAGTAATGACTGCTCCCCTATAAACACATTGTCCCCCACCTAAATATAAACAAAACAAGCAAAAAAAAATTAACCCTGCTCTTTTCTTTTACCCACATTTTCTGTGCTGAGTTAGTTTCTATCCTCATAAATTACTAGATTACTAAAACTTAACCCCCCCTAACAAAAAGACAAAACCAGAGCTGAATTACTAAAACAACCCAAAAAAGCCTGCCCTTCAAGAAAGAAGCTCCTGACGAGAAAAGGACAGCACGGGGAATTTCAGTTTTGTTGCACAGCTCCAGCTCCCCTACGCTACTCGTGCTCCTCACATGACCCACTAACTCCTCCCCCAAGCAAAGGTTCCCGTTACCGCCGACCTTAAGCTTACCGCCTAATCTCCAAACGAACCCAGCGGAGAACGGGATCCGACCTCGAAGCCTGTTGTTCTCCACGTTAATCTCACTCGCGGTGGCCTCCAGCCTCTTAAACTGCTCCGGGAGCTCCCCCTCGAGAAAATTACCGTCCAACCCCAGATAACACAGATTTTCCAAAAACACCCCCATAGAAGCAGGAATATTACCGACAAGTCCAGTCTTTGACATTCCAATCCCCAGAATACCCTTCAGAGTCTCCCAAATCTCCGGTATTTGCCCTCCGAGAGCGTTCCCGCTCAAATACACCTCCTTTAAACTCACCATCCGGCCGATCGCGGTCGGAACACCGCCGGTGAGCTTGTTAAAGCTCAAATCCAAGAACTCGACGTTCTTAAGCCGGCCGATTTCGACCGGCACCGGTCCAGAGATCCGGTTACCGCTCAGATCTAGCTTTACAAGCTCGCTCAACCGCCCAATCTGAGTCGGAACACCGCCGGATATCCGGTTACCGCTCAGATCGAGAATCATCAGCTGGTTCAAACTTCCAATACTCGCCGGAATCGGTCCACGCAAGCGATTTCCCGAGAGAACCAGCTGGCTGAGATTCTGTAGATCTCCGATCTCGATAGGGACAGAACCGGAAACGGCCGAATTTGTAATGATTAAGCGCCTGAGATTAGAGAAATTACCTATCGAGCCACTGATTCGGCCGACAAGAGCTGGATTATTGATGAAGACGATCTCTCTCATGGCCGACGATAGATTCTTAACGAAGCTTGATTCGAAGATAGTTTTCGAGGAGGAGAAGCAGTTGTAGAAGAAAATCTTGCGGAGAAATGGGAGAGCTGATAAAGAGTAAGGGAGGGTGGCGTTTTGGGAGCAGTTAGGGTTTGATGAGACGTCGGAGACAAAGCCGAGGTTGATCTCGATGACGTGGAGCTCCGACGATGATTCTCCGACGTCGCAGACGACGCCGTGGGGCCCGTAGAGGCAAAGATCGCCGGGGTAGAGAGATCGCCAGTCGGTGAACGGATCGATCGATTCGAGAGCGAGGTAGACCGCCTCTTGCTCCGCCGGACCGAGGCTGAGGTCTTCGCCGGCAACAGAGATGGCGGATAAGAGAAAGAGGAGAATGAGGAAGAGCGAACGGTTAGACGCCATTGGAGTAATTTACGGAGATGCCACTGAGCTTGAGAGGGGTTACAGGGCTTTGGGTTTTATAGAAGAAGAAACAGTAAATGGCATTTTTGCCCCTATGTCTGGGTCAGAATAGAAGCTGCATCAGGGGAGCCCAGAGCGCGCAGGGCGCTCAGACCGCAGCTTCGCAGAGAGTAGAGAGGTAGGAATTAAATGACGATAATGACCCTAACGGATAATTTCTGCTTCGTCGAAGACGGTAAATTTCAGCCGTCGGATGTAAAGGTGTGGGAAGGGTAGAGATGTCAATTGGTTTAAGGCCTTCTTCTTTCTGCAAATCCTGCGATTTCTGAGCCTTGCTTGTGAGAAAAGCACGCTGATCCGCCTGCTTATTTTATTGATGTTTTTTTTTGTTTGGTTTGAATATATTTCTTGTTTGGTGATAAATGCTGTTCTTACAATTCCTTTGTCTTCTCAGTTGTTCAGCCAAAATTAGCAATGGCAGCCTTGAGAAAAGTAACAAGTTGAGCAAGTTTGTTGTTTTAGTCACGTATAATCATCTAAATATTATCATATAATCATGATTAATAAAATATCATATTTGCATCATTTAGGGCATGATGTTGTAATTTATTACATCATTCAAGACTCAAGTGCACGTATTGTGAGGATTAAGCTTGATTATTGCTGATTGAAGATGATACTTTTTTATTACTAGATATAATTGCCACCATTTATTTTTGATACCATTGGAACTAAATTTTGTGAATGAAATTATTATGGAACCCTAAAGTTTTTATTTTATGATAAATTCCTTTGTTGCCAACTTGCCATACGACTGCCATCTAGAGTGTGGGTTTATTGGGTCAAAGATACCAATTCGAGTTAAAATTTGAAAATAGTTAATGTCAGTCAAAGACATTAACTGACATAATTTTTAGAGAGTTTGATAAATTTTTACGAGGCTTTTGAAATGTCCGAAATGAATTTTGGAAAATTCACTTTTTCAAAGATTCGACGGAAAAAAGAGAATAGAAGGAAAAGAGGGAGAAAAAAAAGGGAGAGAGTTGCCTTCTACAATTCTAAAGGGCTGTTTGTTTGCTTTTCTTTATTTTTCAAATAAATCTTTCCTTCACTTTCTGGTGTTTCCCTTACTTTTTTGGAAGAGTGTTTCTTGTGTTTGTTTCATCATAAAACATGGATTATAGGTACTTTCCACCACTTTCATTAGTTTGGTTCATTTTAAAAAGACAAGAAAGTAGTTGAAATGTGAATTGATTCCCTTATTTTTTAGTGTTTGGTTCAAATTTAAAAAAAGAAGAAATCATGGTTGTGGTCACCATAGTGTGCTTACCACACATCAATGACGAAATCGTTGTCCAACATAAATTGAAGGGTGAACGTACCTACCATTTGAGGAACTAAATTTAAAATATGAACATTTGAGGGAGGAATTTCAAAGTAACTAAAGATTTGAGGGACTAGTTTTACATTTAAGGTAGTAATTTACAAAATGTTTAAAGATTTGAGGGACTAATTTCAAGTACTTATGGACATTTAAGGGAGTGATTTCAATTCTCTAAATATTTAAGAGACTAATTTTAAGTTTGATGAAGTAACTTAAAAATATTAAATGATTTTGAGGGAATAACTGCAAGTTTATATTAATTAATTGACTAATATCAATATTTGAGTAGTAATTTACAAAATATTTAAAAGATTTAAGTCCTCGTTTCATGAAATTAAAAGTGATAATTTTTGTTATGCTCAGATTTCTTCACTATTATCTGAATATGATATCTAAGTGTGATTAAATACAAGTGAGGGTATGGAAGAGCAACCACTGGTAAACTATGAGGTACTTGTGTACACTTTACCCATGGACATGTCCAAACCTAGCAGATAAAGCTCTCCACCAACAGCGCCAAATTCTCAACATAATTTTGTTGTCTCCGGATAAAGTTTTGGCCCACGATACAAATTATCTTAACTTATTATGATATTTAAATTATTATACTATAAAGAGTTATGTTAGATTTAGATAAGATCATATCTATGTAGTTTCTCTGATGGATGAAAACTGTTTTAAGAAGTCTTATCTTTTAAGAATTCTAGTTATAACAGAAGAGTTTTAGCCTAGCCTATAAATATAGCAATAGTTCTTCCATCAGATTTAAGCCTTTTCGGTAAGGCATATATATGCTAGAAACTCTTTCTGTTTTCTCTATTTTATTTATTCTAACGGTGATCTATCTTTTGTTCTTTGTTTATGTATATTCTCAGATAATCTCTACTATCTAGACAACAATGGCCGGATGTATCTTTCTGTTTAATTTATTTCCGTTGTGTTCTCTGTATTTATTTAGATTTCAATATCTAACAAAATTTACACACATCCCTTCCTCCAAATAGAAAAAAACCCTTGGGATAGCTGTGGGAGGACAGCACGTTCATCCTCACGAACCCACCCCACAAAAAGTCCTCAAAACTTTCTGCCTCCTCAAAGCCCACTTCGATGGGAGAGTATGAAGGGGAGGTGATTGTAACCTAACTCCTTTTTCTCACTTTGTTGCAGCGAAAACATAAAAAAATAAGATTTGATTTTTTAATTTGAATTTAATAGTTTTCCGTTGAAATCGGAGGTTTTGGAGAGGAAACAAGGTTTTCATTTTGGGTACGTGGCCACATGTTTTCCTTTATAATTTCTTTGTTCTTTTTGCAAAGCAATCAACAAAAAGATGAAGAGCTCTTGGCATTTATACGAGGTTTTCTTTGATGTCAGCTATTTTTTCGGGGTTTTCTTTATCCCCCCCACCCCAACCAAACAACCTTTAAAAAGAAAGTGAGGTTATTTTAAAAAAAATTTATAATTCAACAATTGAAGTTTTTTTAGAGGAGTTATGGAAGGTTTTATATGGACTCATAAATAGAATGTGACGAGAATCCGCTATCAACTTTGTAATTGGTAAAATCAGTAAAAATTTAATATAAAATAAATACAGGGGTCTAACATAAAAGCTGATAATAAAATATATTCATTTTCTTAAAAAAAAGAGAAGAAAAGTTTAAAGGGCATTTCTGTAATCCCAGCCTGGAGTAGGCCAGTGGGGCCCACCCCACGGAATGATGGCCTCCTTATAGAAGCGCCCAAAAGCAGCAGGAGATAAGGCGCTCAACGTCGAGCCAGTTTCCAAATCGATACGACGTCGCGATCAGCGATCGAAGTCTAAATCCCTCATCGCGCCGCGGTTACGGCGGCGTCGATAGGCGTGAAAGGGGGCCCCACGGCCACGTGGCAGACACCAGGGTCACCGCCGACAGGGGGGAAAAGCGGCTGACAACGACCGGGGCACAGTGGGCCGTACTGGGAATCATTCGCCTTCACCGACTTACCGATGGGCACGATGAGGAGGCTCACGTGGCGGAGTAACGGGGGGCGGCAGCTCGGTCTCAGGGGCCGCACTGAATTAGCGTATGAATGGGAATTGGGGGCGGGGAAAGTGGGGATGCGGTTGAGAGAGTTTAACGGAGGGAAATGCTTGGTGTTTTTTTCGTTACACGGTACTTCTGACAGTGTAGGGGCGGGGGGGGGGGGGGGGGGTGGGTTCTTGGGATTCCAATTGCGGCCTTCAATTTAATTCACTAGTAAAGCTACGGTTGTGTTTGGTTAAAATTAGATGGGAGGGTAAACACATACTCAATGATGAATTTGAGTGCAACAGTAATATTTGGCTAAAATAATGCTAGGGGCACACCCTCAACCATACTTCTAACTACACCCTCACACTCTTTATAGCGCTAGTAGGCCATGCATGATATTTTTAAAATAATATTTTTTTAAAAATATCATACATGACCCACTAGTACTATAGAGAGTGTGGGGGTATGGTTAAGAGTATGGTTGAGGGTGTGCCCCTAGTGGGACTCATTTTACTAAATGTCACTTAGCTATGCTATTGTTTCATAAACTTTATAGCTCCTGAGCGCTAAAAATTAGCACGTAAATATCTTTTAAGTTGTTCACGGTTAGAATATGATAGACACCGCTAATTAAGGAATCCGTTATAGACAAATATCCTGTCATAAAAGTTAATTAAAAGAGGAGGGTAGGCTAGTGGCAACTGCGATAATAAATGGGGTCTGTACAATTAAAAAATATTATGGGCTGATGACATGGAAATAGAGGAATATTTTCTCGTGTAACTAACAGAATGTATTAACGTGTTAGTTTTTTTATAACTTAGGATACTAAGGCTCTGTTTGGCAAAACTAGCTGAAAGCTACGAGATTATAGCTGAAAGCTGTTAAGCTAGCTAAAAGCTGTGAAATTGTAGCTGAAAGCTGTTAGCTGTGTAGCTAGCTGATTGACTAGAGCTGTTTGGAAAAAGTAGCTGTACAACTAGCTTAAATTTGTTAAATGACTAAAAAAGACATACAATATTATTGATATAAAATTAGAATTATTAGGGGCAAAAACGGAAGAAAAAAATTGGCAGCTCCTTCCCAAAGACAAACGCCACTTGAGATAGCTTTCCAAAAGCTACTTGCAAAAGACATAATCTCCAAAATAATCTCCTCATATTTTTTGTCACCAAACAGCTCTACTAGCTTATTGACCAAGTCAATAAGACACAAGCTCTTAGATAAGATACTTTTTTTGGTTGCCAAACAGTGCCTAAGTACTACTCTTTACAACTTAGAGTATTTAAGTGTAAAGGTGATTAAAAAGCAGTGTATCTAAGTGTCATTTCGCCATAATTTTTTTTCCACTTTTACTATGTTTTTGTTGGAGGGAGTAACAAAATATAAATCAGTCAATCCAATTTGATAATTGTAATCTATCAACGTGAAGCTTTTTTGTGTCTAGACAGAGTAAAATACTATTCTTACTTTCTTAACAATATATGAGTTAGTTCTTAACCAATTTAGGCAAGTGAATTAGAGGGCTCAATTATTTTTAACCCTCTAGAAGGATCATATTTATATTTTTTGGAAGTTTCAAGTTTCACATGTTAAGGTTGTGTTTACCAACTTTATACATACAATGTATAAACTTTTGTGTTTTATTGACAAAAAGACTTAAAATAGACGATTGTGACTTTGGAAAGAGAGGAAACATACCTCAAGCCCATTGGGTTAATCAGCTGGCTTGTCCAGCCCATTTTACTTATCGCGCCTTTTAAATCTGTCGCGAAGAAAGTAACTTACTTAATTTGGCCATCTATTCTATCATGCGATTCAGGCCCGTTGCCTCATCAAGTAGCATTTGTTTTAGGGGAAATTGCTTCTAACCCCCAATTTTCTTATAAGTATGCTCTCAAAACCCCCCAAAGCAAAGTCATAATCCCTTGAGCCCCCAAACACAAAACCCAAGAATTTAAAACATGTGAAGACCATAATACTCTTTCTCTCTCTTTTTTCATGATGTTACTGTGATGATTTAAAACAAGTTTTGAGGGAAAAAATTCTAGTTCCCTCTAAATTTTTTCAACGACGTCGACATCAACGGTGAAACTTTCCCGGAGTTCGTTCATGAGGCGAAGAAAACTGTGATCTTGAAGACGATGATGACGAGTTGAGTCGCCAACCTCCTTAAGTTTACATATTGTTGTATTTTTTTTAAACCGATGACTTGAGATTAAAGTAGAGTATGTAAATTTATATATTATTGTTATTTCACTGTAATAAGTTTGTTGTTAAGCTTATGAGTTGGTGGTGAAGGAATGTTACGTGTTGGTTTTGAAGGTTACGAGTTGGTTGTGAAGTTTACGAGTTGGTTGTCAATGTTACGAGTTAGTTGTGAAGGTTACGAGTTGTTACGCGTTGGTTGTGAAGATTACGAATTGTTTGTGAAGGTTACGAGTTGGTTGTGAAGATTACGAATTTGTTGTAAAGTTGGTTGTGAAGGTTACAAGTTTGTTGTGAAGGTTATGAGGTGGTTGTAAAGGTTACGCAGTGATTGTGAAGGTTATGAGGTGGTTGTAAAGGTTACGAGTTGTTTGTGAAGATTACGAGTTGATTGTTAACCTCGGCAAGGAGTTGGTTGTGAATGTTAGTTAACAACAATCACAATCAACTCATTGTCGATGTTCACAACCAACTTGTAACATTCACAAACAATTCGTAACCTTCACAACAAACCCATAACCTTCACAACAAACCTATAACCTTCACAACCAATGTATAACCTTCACAACCAACTCGTATCCTTCACAACCAACTCGTAACATTAACAACCAACTCGTATCATTCACAACCAACGCGTAATTTTCACAACCAACTCGTAACATTCACAACCAACTCGTATCATTTGGTAACCAACTCGCAAACTTCATAATCAACTCATAACCTTCAAAACCAACAAGTAACATTCCTTCACCATCAACTCATAAGCTTAACAACAAACTCATTACGGTGAAATAACAACAATATATAAATTTCTTAGGAGATACAATATACAGTTTGAAGATATATTATAGATTGGGATAAAAAAATAAGTCATATATAGTATTTTGGGTGTATGTGCATTTATGGAAGTGAATGAGTTAATTTAAGAGTAAATATTTGGGTTAAAAGACAAAAACCACTTCTTTTCTTTATTTGGCTTCACTTGTCTGAATAAAAGTTAGGAAAAAAAAGAATAAAGGTTTCACAACAACAACAACCAACAACCACAAAAAAAAAAAAAAAAAAAAAAAAAAACATAAAACAAAAAAAAAAAAAAAAAAAAAAAAACAACCATAGTTTTAACGCTCAATACAGAACTCATAAAAAAATATAAGAGTCTGGCAAGTAAATGGTCCAATTCGTATACTTAGCCTGAAATAAAAATGCTTCACAAGATACATCTGACAAGAAGAACACATATCTTGTTAGCAAAAATTGTACTCGAAGTGTGGACGAGTCAGGCGAGCTCGAGAATCCCACGCAGGCGAGCTCGAGATCTAGAGTTGCAGATGAGCACGGTCCAGGCGAGCTTCTGTCAAGCGAGATCTAGTCTGGCGAGTTTTGGAGCAGGCGAGCTCCACCCAGGCGAGCTCGAGGGGATGTGTTGCAGGCGAGTTCGAGGCTTGAGTTGGCGAGCTCGAGCGGGTGATCAGTGACATGTGAGCTTGTGGCGGAAATCCAGGCTGTCGATAGCCTATCGACAGCTCAGCTAGGGTTTCTCTATAAAAGGGAAACCCATGGGTGCGGATTCGATGCTTCTTCCCCCTCTCTCTCTCCTCGCGATTTCTGGCGATGGCTCTCTCCCTCTCTCCTCTCCCACGATCTCTCTCTCTCTCTCTCTCTCTCTCTTTTCTCCTGTGCTCACGTGATTGGGAAGGAAATTAAAGAGATAATTTATTGAAGAGAAAATTAAGAGGGGGGCATTTAAGAAGAGAATTTGTTACTGTAGCTACAGTAACAAATTAGTATTTATTGAGAGATCTTAGTTTGAGATCTGCTGTAAGTTTGTAATTTCTTGTTTGATTAATAAGAAATTTACTGTGTGGCTCCCGAGGACGTAAGCAGTTGCCGAACCTCGTTAAATTTTGGTGTATTTTCTCTATACTGCGTTTCTGCTGTTTTAGGGGTTTTGGCGTAAAATTTCCCAACAAATTTGGCTTACCAAACTAATCAAACCCTACTAGAGGGTGATCAGAGTCAATGGACTGATGCCGTGAGAACTTATCTTTACTGTAGGATAAGATCACTGCACTTGCTTGCATAACCCTACAATGGAAATCATAACTATATTTGTTTGATTAATAGTTTTGTTGCATTTCTATTTTCATTTATACAAACAATTACTTTCATTCACTTCTATGACTATTATGCGATACAAGTTAAGTTTTTATTCACAAGTATCGCAGTATCGCAACTGTTTTAATACATGCATACCATTTTAATGTTTTCCATTCAGCTCTAGGACTATTATGTGATAGAAGTTAAGTGTTTGGCTCAAAAGGATTACATTGTTGTGTTTCTGTTTTCATTCATACAAACCATTGATGTTTTTCCATTCAGTTGTATGATTATTACGTGACAGAAGCTAAGTTCTAGTTCGCAACGATCATACATGTCGCGTACGTTTTCATTCTTACAGACCATTATATTTTTCATTCAGTTCTTTAACTATTATTCAATGAAAAGACTTTAAAGTGTACTTTTATGTTTCAAGCTTTACTTGTATGGAAACCAGTAAAATTTTTCAGTCAATTGTTATAATCGTTAACAGTTTCTACCAATAGATTTTAAGGTTAGTCTCCAATTTTGTAAATTCCTTTTTCATATCTTTCTTCTAATAAAGTTAATTATAGTTGAAATAGACATATGCAAGTATGTTTAGACGATACTATGCTTGCCATCTTTAATTAATATAAAAAATAGGATACTTCTTCAGAAAAAGACTCGAGAAAAAAATTATAGGACCATAATTCTCAGACTGAGCTTCATATGAAACAATCTATTTTCTCTCAGGATAAAGCTATAAAAGGAATAAATCACAGCACTGTAGTATTGCTAATCATACCTGGAGTTTACATAGAATGACGTCGAATATAAAGGGGTCCTTCTCTAAGAGCTCAGTCTGTAAAAAACACAAACATAAAACATAACAGTTTTATAAGAATGATTGGATTTCATTCAGAAGATTGAAGCAATAACAAACTCTATTACGAGAAGTAAACGAAACAACAAATAATTATAAATTAACTGAGGAGAGCAAAAATCTATAGGAGGATCACATAAAGACCATATAAAGATTTTTCTGATAGTCTGCTAATGATTTCCACAGTAGCAGTTTATCGGAATACTTACTTTGTCAACACTCAACAGAGCCTTGGCTGCACCTCTTGATACAAAGGAATCTGCAGCAACAAAGAAAAAGGGATATTTCGAGTAAAGTGGAGATTCTTCATACTCAAGGCCTCATTCAAACTGGAAAACACCAACTGGGTAAGTCTCATAATATCAAATCAATCCTTTTATTCAGTTGTTGAAAAAGTCTTCATTTAGCAAAATCGGAATCATAAAGTCTTTTTCAAAACAAAATACAAAAAAAAAAAAAAAAAAAAAAAAAAAAAGGTTCTTTTTAAAAAAAAAAAAAAAAAAAAAAAAAAAAAAACAGAGATCAAGGTTGAAGATTATGGTCTTAAAAATTTATTGGACAAGAGGATAAATATAATCATATTATTGAGAAAAATGATACACCTCTAAAAAGGCATTGCAACATCAACAATGCTTCCTTCCATAAGTTTCCCCAATTCATCCAGCACCAAATGCATCTCTCTTGCAAGTGCATGATAAGATGAACCCTCAACCCCAAATTCATGAACAACCCCCATGACTTCAATCCAACTCTTCCCTTGAGGCTTACTCTCATCCTTTCTCGTCGATTCTCTAACAGACACTACATCATTCCACTGATTTTTATCCGCAAACATATTAGACAAGAGTACACGAGCTCCTCCATGATAGGAGCAACTCGATTCAATTTTCTCCATAACAAGTTTTGCCAAATCTAGATCTCCGTGAACTCTGCAAGCGCTCAACAAAGCCCCCAGTATCACCAAGTTTGGTTCCATTGGCATATCCGAAACCAAGCCATATGCACGAGCAAGAAGCCCAGCTCGACTGAAGAGATCAACCATACATCCATAATGCTTGATCTCTGGCTTTAAATTGAACGCTTCCATTGACTCAAAAATTTGAATTCCTTCATCAACTAACCCTGAATGGCTACAAGCAGTGAGAACTGCAATAAAAGTAGTGGAATCAGGCACGATGAGCCTTTTCTGCATCCGGGAGAACAAATCAAGTGCATCGTTACCAAGCCCGTGTGAAGCTAACCCTGTGATCATAGCTGTCCATGAATGAAGATCTTTGTTTACTGTGCAATGAAACACTTGCCAGGCAGAAGTTATGCTTCCACATTTCGGATATGAATCAATCAACGAGTTACGAATAAAAAGATCATGATGCAACCCGACTTTCTCTATATAAGCATGTAAGCTTTCGGCTATATCCAAAGAGCCTAAACCGGCACATGCTGATAAGACTGAGACCATCGTCGCAACATTAGGTCTAACGCTCGAATCCCCTGCCTGAACCCTCATATTTTTGAAAACATCAAGTGCTTTTAAATGGCAATTTTGGGCAACTAACCCCGATATCACCGCAGTCCAAGTAGTTACATCTCTTTTAGGAATTTCATTGAACAAACGTAAAGCATCATCGAAAGCCTGGCAAGCGAAATACATGCTAAGCAGTGAAGTTTGCACAAATGGGTCAGCCCCAAATCCAAAAATAAACACATGGGCATGGACTAATTTTCCAATATTAAGATTGGGTGTGACAGAATTCAGCGATTTAATCAAAAAGGGAAATGTATGCTTATCGGGAAATATTCTTCTCTCAAGCATTTCAACATACAGCTTCAAGGCAGAAGATGGGTTAGATTTAATCATAGTATTGAATGAGAATGCATTGGGATTCTTCATTTGGGTAAAGATCAAAGAGCTGAAGCTTGGGTCAGGAGGCAAGAAAAGAGTAGAAGATTGAAGAATTTGGCTAGAAACGAAGGGGTTTTGAAAGAGGCCGGAGACTAATGAATAGGAGAAAATGGGTTTGAAACAGCGATGGGGAGAGCGTTTGTGAAGGAGTTGGAGACGAGGGTGTTTTCGAAAAATTTGATTGGTGGAGACCCAAGATGGGGATTGAGCTTGAGAGGAGAAATGGGGTGATGAGGAGATTGAAGAGCTGAGATTCCAAGGTTTTCGAATCATCAGATACGTTGGCCACAACAATTTTAATCATTAGATTAATTGATCTTAAGTTAATTTTGATGTAGATATCTAATCTTAATTTTCAGATAAATCAAACTATTACTGACTTTATATATCGTATGAATTACAATTTTTCAATACTATCTAGTTCTGTCATATCTATCTTGTATCTTCATGTATATCTAGTTATATATCAACATGCATATTCGTATCCTTATCTGATTTTAATAGGGGTGCATACGTTTTAAGTGTGGCTCGGATATGTTACTTATCTTATTCGAATTCGCTTACCAATTATGGATATGGATATGATTATAGATATGACTATGTAAGAAAATTTTATTTCTATGACTCTGTAAGAAAATTTTATTTCCATATCCGCTAGGGCTTCTATGTTTGCACGGAAGTACATATGAAATAGTTGAAGTAAAGAAAGTAGATGATATTTCTGCTACTTTCAAACAAAAAAAATATTTGTTTCCTTGAAAAACATACTTCCTATACTTTCTTAAGCGCTGATGTGGCGCTTACGCGTCATTCCTACTTTCTAAATACTTTTCCACCCTCAAGGCTCAGAACTAGCTCGGAAGTTAGTGAAATGTGCATTAATTAGGAAATAAATAATTTTCTTATTAATATTTCCTTTATTAATTACTTATAACAACTTTTCATTGCTATCCTAAAAAAACTGAAGATTAAGAACTATTATTTCCACTACTTCAAAAAATATTTGAAACACACAAAAAAGTATTACTTCAACTACTTCCTACTTCATAAATGAAAGTTACTTCTTTGATCTATTTCCTACTTCTGATATTTCTATCAAACAAAAAAGGGAAAAGATGAACAATAAATAAATGAAAAAAAATGATATGAGGTTGCTGCTCATATTGCAAAATGAATTTTTCTAACGGCTGCATTTGTGCAGTCCAAGAGAATGAGAGATAAAGAGAAGAGATGTAATAACAGAAATTAATACAAATTAGGAAAGACACACTTGTTATTTATTTCTCTTATCTCTCATCCCTTAACGAATGACCATAAACACCCGCTAGAAAAATCGTTGCAAAATAAGCTAACAATATATACACATGTAAATTAATCCATTCTAGTTGTCACATCAAAAAGCATAGTCTCGTCTTTTTGACTCTTAATAACTCATTTTATTAGATAACCTGCCACTTCACAGCGATCAAACCTTGAATAAATTTCACAATACTAAAAGGTTTTTTCTACAACGTATAATAAAGTATTTTTTAGAAAAAATACCAAAACTTTTATTCAGTAGGAATGTACCACATATCGTCAGAAAATTACTTTTACTATGCTAATGACCTTGTTAGATCTCTAATGCTCCCAATAGTTAAAGGGGGAAGAAGGTTCACCGGCTACTTATATAAAGTAAGTCCTTACCAAATATTTCATGGAATTTACCCAAACAAGAAGCAACGAACATTTGCACTTGTACATTTGAATTCATAACAAAGGAACAACATGGTAACACATGGAATTTCGAAGTACACAAAAAGCAATTTATTCAAGCAATGTGCACTTCCACATGAAGAAGACGAAGAACCACATCCGCGATTTGATGAACTCCCCTTCTCACCAGACGTCAGGGCGAAGTTCGCCTGTCGCCGGAGGAGTCCACCGACCAGAGTGGTAGACGCTCTCGCCAACCTTCCACCCAGGAACGTCTTTCATGATCCTCGCCTCCTCTTCCAAGTACTTCTTCCACTCTTTGACAAATCTATATTAGCCGCAAATGATACAATAATGTCAGGAGAATGATGTGAGGAGATGAGAACCTAAAGTGGAAGAATTCAGGGTGCTTGCCTTTCATCTTCTTCAGCTTGAAGCATGGGAAGTATCGCTCTTCTCGCAGCATACTTCTCTTCCTTGAGAGCCCTACACATTTGGAAACATAGGGGAATGATGATTATAAATACTAGAAGATGCTACAAAAGATAACTGTACAGCATAGTTATGGCTATGGGGAACTTGAGCTACTGACATAATAGGGCAATATGAACATGTCTGTTGGTAAAAAAACCAATTACATTTAGAATTATATCTAAATCTTTTATATTCGGGCCTCCAACGTAATATTTATTGATAGAAGTAATTTTCTGCAGCGCATGTGGTTCCACGAGCACTAGAATGTTCAGCAATCAAGCTTTTCACATATCCTTACTTAACCGGTCATATCCAACTACTTAGTCATTCCCTTCACGATTACCCTACCACTAAATCAAACAATGGTCATACACTTCCAAAGCAGCCATCCCATTCTAAACTCCCTTCACAAGCACCGTGGCTGTGACTGGTAATGTATGTTCAACCTTTGAGAATGGCCATCTCGGTACAATATGTACACTTTATGAATATTCAGCCCCTAGTAGAGAAGAATGTCATCTTGCTGTCATGCTTCTTTTAAGGTTCATCAGTATCATTCTACCTGTCACAATGATACCTATTCTTGCAGAACATTAAACACACCACAAATTGCTTTGTAATGTCAAATTTTCTAGAACTTGCATGATTAGTTCAGTTTCAAGGTTCCTATCGAGGAAGCTGTGTATATAATCTTCAAGATATCTTCCTATCAAAAGTTACATGCCTAACCTTGTGGATATACTCTTCAAGATATCTTCATATCAAATGTTATATGCCTAACCTTTCCTTCATAACTATTGACCGTGATATGTCTTTTACGTCCACCCTCATTTTTGTTATTCCAACAATGATCCGGCTTCTCATAACTATTAACCTTGATAAGCTTGACCTTCCACCCTATTCTTGTTACTCCAGTAATAGTCCACAAACTCTTCATACTCGGTTACATACATAAATGTATATAGATCTCGTCAACACTTTGCATTTTTGCATGCATTATAAATAATAATCTGAAAGCAAATACCACATATCAACAAAAAAGCAACAGTTGGGTCTTATGGCCAACTACTGTACATCAATACATTACGGAGATAAATTTCCATAATATACTTTACATCTTTTAAGAATAGGCCTTCATGCACCACCACCACCACGAGGTCCACCATTATCGAATCAAACCTACATTTCAACTACACAAGCAATGTGGCATGCAGTTGCATAACATCTTACTGCAAATAATTTTAAACAAGACATGTTGTACGACTCTCAATCTTTTAACTGAGCTGCCAAACAAAGATATTAAACTTTGGAGCAACTTAAAAGATGGAATCAGCAGCACTTAAGCACTCAACCTACACCTGAATCCAATATGCATATTTAACTCGGGGGAAGCTGCCAGGTGGCAGTAAATACAGTAGAAACAATGTACTCCGTGGTTCTTGATGATCCATACCTGGCTCTTGACTCAAATGTCGGTCTTTCTCAACTGTCTATTTTGCACAATGATTTCCCTCACTTTTTTAATTTTGACCAGTATTATTAGAGAGGAAATAGAAGAATGGAAGATCAAAATGATGAAAATAGTAGTATATAAGGAAAAAAAATGGTGTATGAAGACATGAAGAAGGTTGAAAATACTCAACATAAATTCTAACTGCAATGATCGACAGGAGATGATTTAATCCACATGACTTTCCATTACACCTTTGTGACTAATATTTTCTTGATAATATCCATTGGAGTTTCCAGCATTCCCATGCTTGGCTACCTCATTTCCGTTGCTCAAGGATGAGGAACCTGTATATACATGGTAATTAGATGTTTACAACTTGACATTTGACCATTCAATTCTTTATTGTATTAGTCCACATCAATATTGTGATCAGCTTCTATACTACATCAATGAATGTGCACGATATTATCCAGTGCTTGAATACGAATTTGTGCTACTCCAGAAGGTAGTTCAATAGGCACTAGTTCAATTGAACATCCTTTCTTCAGGTTCTGGAAGCTGCAGTAGCTATTCATTTTAGTACTGTGCTGCTCAATAACTATAACAGCCAATCTATTCTACAAAACCACTTGCACCGCACCATTTTCCAACTTCTAGCACTGAAGGGGGCCTCCATCTGAGTTTCACTCCCTAGTTGAGCATGCCAGCACAACTAGTTTTGTATTTTCTGTTGAGCAACAACAGATACATACACGAGTTGTCATAAACTCCAACTTTTTGCATGAGACATCACTCCTAAAGGTGTAGCAGAAAGATAGTTTCGTTAGTACCCATCCTACCAATCTCCCACTTTGAATTTCATCCCAAAATTTTCTCAACCTTCTCAACATCTTCACCTCCCATTTTGGGCACCTTTTGTTCCCGCACATACCACTATTTCTTTGCGCTTCTATTATCTCCAGATTCCTCCCATCATGTGGAGAAATTCAGTTTTCTAAATGGCATTAAACTATAGGATCATTTGCACTTTGGTATCACAAAGTTGTCACTTTTTTGAACTTTGATGCCCCAAATCTTCTTCTTAGTTTGGATATTTGGCACTTCGGTGCCGGTTGTCACTAGACGTGAGAGTTTACGGCAGCAAAGCGTCAAAAATAAACCGAGGCAACGAAGTTTGAAAATGTGGCAACTTCTTGCCACCAATGTGCAAATTATCCTAAAATATATACACAACTACACTTCAGAACCTCCATAGTTTATTTTCATATTTTCCAAACAAAGCTCAATCGTTTCCGTATTCTACTTGTGGCTAAATCAAACGTTTTAGCTCTATATATCCCAAGATTGTCTCCAAGCTTCTAGTTCCACAACCAACCTCATTCCTGGAAGGACAAAAAAAAAAAAAAAAAAAAAAAGACACTCGTGCTTCCATGTTTTCCACTTTCGAAAATTACTCAGAACTCCTCAGATCTCCACCTAAATCACTACATCGAAAATTACTTATCTTACCATATTTGCACCTTGTGAACAAGGCACTCGTTCAAAAATCTAACTTTTCATCTAAAGAAGTCGCAAATACATCAAAAATCCCTAATTATTACCATCAAAGCAACCGGTGATCCTCTAGGATCAAATCCCTAACCCAATCCCTGCTTCAAAATCCAATCAACTACTCAATTAACTAGATCAAATTGGCGATTCCTCCTCCATAAAAATCCAGTAAAATTGAAAGCCTAGAAAAGAGTTATTCTGCACCTGCGGATCTTGTTGCCCTTGCCGACCTGGTACATGCCCCAAGAGAAAGCGCCGAGAGCGGCCGTGAATACGGCTGGTCGGGATCCGGCGAGCGTAGCGGGCCGGAGCGAAACCGCCAGGTGGCGGTCCGTCCTGAAGGACCGGCATCTCCCTCACGCTCGCCATTCCCGGTTTCTTTCTGATCATCGCCTCCGTCATCTTCGATTTGCCTTCGGTTCGGTTCGGTTCGGTTAGATTCGGTTTCGGTTTGGTTTGTTTTTACGAGAGTTTTCGAGTCAAATTAGTGAGAGAGCGAGAATGAGAGAGAGGGAGGGAGAGAGAGCTGGGCTGCTGCTGGAGGGTCTGTTAGGATAGTCCTGCGGAGGTTGGTTGGATTAGTTGGTACCGTAGGCGACGAAGTGGGCCCATTTATGGGCCCCTCTTGGTTGTGCAGGCATTTCTTAACGAAGCCTTAGCCCAAATTTATTTAAGGGAGAAGTCTCAAAAAATACCATTCTTTAAAAATTATTAGCAAAATCAACCTCTTTTTGGCTAGGTTATCACGGCTAGTCTAAAAGATGTTAATTTTACAAAATATAATCTTTAAAATACATAAGAGTAGTAGTCTCATGTATTTAGAGGTCATTAATCACATACTAATAGTACAATGTATTTTAAAAGAATCAATTTAAACAGTAATTAGTAACGGCTAAATACACAAGAGTAGTAGTCCCATTTATTTTAAAGACCGGAATTTGCAAAACCAACATCTTTTTAGCCGGTAGTGATAATGTGGTCAAAACGAGTTTGATTTTGCTCATAAAATTTAAGAATGATTTTTTTTTAAAAATTCTCCTAAATTTATGACGTGAAAGAGATTGTTGATGTGCTTCCATTTTGGGCCTACTGATGTTTTTTATGAGTCTTGTTAGGTTTTGAGATAGGTCTAGGGCCAGTTCATTTGAAAAGTGGTACATTGCAAATAATCTATCTCATTTGTACTTGTATTTAACAATTATGAGACTTTAACTCTTTTATTAGCATCTCTCACATTCCATGTTTGAGGAAGAGGGGAGTTATCTGCAACTTTTCCTTCTCAAAATGTGAAGGGGGGAAAAATGTCGATGGATGATAAATGCTAGTGCAATTACAGATAAAGAGGGTTATATGCAATTTACCTTTCTTGAAAAAAAAATATGCTAAATAGACCACTTGTTGTCATGACACATAATATTTTATTCAGATATCGCTTTACCTATGTATGACTATCAATATGTCACTGTTAAGAATGCTAACATCAAAGGGGTAAATTACACTAAACCCCCGTGAACTTCTAGCGTTTTGCACAAAACCCCTATGACACTAGACCCCAATAACATTTGGTAGAAGACCCCGACATCTTTTGGATAAATTACAGCAAACCCCCAATAACTTTCGAAATGTCTTTTTATGTTGTTTTCTAGTTCTAATTTATGGGGCTTATTTGCAAAATGCAAAAATTTATTTAGGGTCTGCAAAACATTAAAAAAAAATTGGGTGGGGGGTGGGGGGTTGAGGGGGTTAGCATGATTCTAGAAGTCCATAGGGGTTTACTGCAAAACGCTGAAAGTTCACAGGGGTTTAGTTTAAATTTTGAGTAAAGACGAAGCAGAAGAGAAGAAGTGAAGAGGAGAGGCAAGAACCTTGTGAGGTTGTTGTTCAAGTTCTTAGTCGTGTAAGATCTAGTAACGAGCCGTGCAGGATCTTATATTGTTAAAGCAAGATAGCTGAAACATAAAATGGTAAACTACATAGATAATGAATTTAAGGTTTTTCGTCATTTTGAGCCACATCTTGCACTTACTTGCCTCACAACATATTATGATATGGATAAACAAGAAATTATGTTATCTCATTTATAAGTAACTAGTATAATGCACGTGCTTTGCACGTGGACATGTTGTTATATTTAATATTATATTATTTAATAAATTATATATAAATATTTTTCAAAGTTATTTAATTGCATTATGATTAAAAAAATTTTAAGTTATACTATAATTAATACTTATACTATTATTAACATACATTTAATAGTTATTTAAATTAGCTTATTATTATATTATTAACAATTTATTTAGGAGTATAATTATTAAATAATTATGTAATCATTAGTTTAAGTAACACAATTGATATAATTAAACCATTTATATTATTAAATATTTGGACATATTTTATTACAATATTTATTAAATAATGGTAATAATTTTTAATATTATATGACTTTATGTTGTAAAGAATATTACATTGCTTGATAATTAATATATCATCTTAGTATTAAAAAATTGGATGGTATAAATTAAAAATACTATTATTCAGGAAAACTACTTTATATAAAAATATTGGATCATTGAAATTTATGAGACATTTACTTTCCAACAAAAGTGAATGACTCATAGATTTCAAAAATCCAATATTTTTATATAAAGTGACTTTTCTAAATAAAAATATTTTTAATTCATAATGTCCAATTTTTATTACTAAGATGATATTATAACATCGAAAAGGGTGATATTCTTTACAACATAAAGAATTAACCCCTATTTATACTATTATTAATGACTATAATTATGTACAATATTTTATTAAATAAATAATTTTACTATTTCATTACAATTAATAATTCTTTTATAATAAATTATAATATGTTTATTAACTTTATTATCATTATTATTAATATATTCTAGCGAGTGACCAAATATTTTGGGAAAAAAAAGAGAAAAGTATGTCTCATAAATTTCATGGATCTAAATATTTTTATATAAATTACTTTTCTAAAATAAAAATATTTTTAATTTATAACATCCAAATTTTTATTACTAAGATGATGTTAGTTATCGAGCAATGTAATATTCTTTGCAACATAAAGAAGTAACCCCTATTTATACTATTATTAATACTTATAATTATGTGCACTAATTTATTAAATGAATGACTTTTACTATTTTATTTAATTAATAATTATTTATAATTAATTATCATATATTTACGAATTTCGTTATTATTATAAATTATTAATATATTCTAGTGAATGACCAAATAATTTGAGAAAATGAAGAGGTGCATAGTTAATGAGAGGTTATGGATCGTTAGTTTTATAAATAATGGCATTATGAGAGTTAAAAAATTGAGAGGGTAAACAGAGAAATCAAAAGTTTTGACGTGGGTATTCTCTTTTATAAATAGTATATATATATATATATATACTATTTTTCGCACAGTAACGTGCGAAAACGAAGAGAGGCGTGATTCGTTGAGTTGGATGACAGCTGGATGCCCGTGATTCCTTCAGCCCTCTTCTTTTATTCTTTGTTTATTCCTTCTCCCCTCCGCTGTTATTCTTTGTTTATTCCTTCTCCCCTCCGCTATTCCCAATTTCCTCCTGCAAAAATGGCATATTTTCTCCCTTCTTTGAGACCCTTTACAGAGATCTAAGCTCCATCGCAATCTCCACATCTTCATCAGCTCAAAGAAGATGATGCGAGCTAGCAAGAAGTCCACATCTAAGCTCCAATTTTGAAGGTTTCGTCCGCGGCAGCCGGCGGCGAGTGGGAGGTCCGGCCGTGCGGGATGCTGGTTCAGAAGCGGAGCCAAGAATCAGAATCCGCATCCAAACCGGCTCCGGCGATCCGGGTGCTGGTCAAGTACGGATCCGCTTATCACGAGATCTGTGTCAACTCTCAAGCCACCTTTGGTGAGTTTTGTGTTCAAGAAATTATGGTTAATTATCTTTTTCAGGCTCTAGGCTCTGATCGGGTTTTGGATTTGGAGCAGGGGAACTGAAGAAGCTGTTATCGGGTCCAACGGGTCTACACCCGTTAGATCAGAAGATACTGTACAAAGACAAGGAGAGAGAATCCACAGCGTATTTGGACACCGCCGGCGTTAAAGATAAATCGAAGCTCGTCGTGTTAGAGGATCTCAAAGCTCAGGCTAAACGATGTCTTGAAATGAGGCGAGCTGTGAAATCTGAGCAGGCGTCGAAATCTATCAGTTGCCCTTAGAATTGCAGTCGTTTGTTTCACTGTGATTATAAACTTTTCCAAAAACAGTTGTAAAAATGGGTCAGATTTGTGAAAACAACTTGCGTCCACGAGAACTGCAAGTCATCTTTTGTAAAGATTACTCATTTCGAAATCTATCAGTTGCCCTTAGAATTGCAGTCGTTTGTTTCACTGTGATTATAAACTTTTCCAAAAACAGTTGTAAAAATGGGTCAGATTTGTGAAAACAACTTGCGTCCACGAGAACTGCAAGTCATCTTTTGTAAAGATTACTCATTTGCTGTAGTAGCGGCAAAAATAAACAGTTCTAATTGCAACTGTCTTTTGCAAATTGTTGCTTTACCATTTTCTATGGACCAAGCAGCCTGGTGGAAGTCAGGAGTAGTTTTCCTTATCTGCTTGTTAATAACAAGAATAGTGTACTAAACATAAACAGTTTTTAATTGCAACTGTCTTTTGCAAATTGTAGCTTCCATGTTTGTTAAGAAATGCTGTTATTTTTATTGGAAAACACTGCAAATTATAAAAAAGAGCATAAAACAGTTTTTAATTGTATAATTGTGGGATTGTTTGAGAACCTTTTTTTCGATATGCAGATAGAGCATTACCTTCAGGTTGTGAAAACCGAGTTGGTATCACAAAAACATTACCAAGAATTTAAACTCCTTGAGGACTATGAATATACTGCCCATAGCAGTTTAGTGCACAGCCTGGATGTTCCTGTGGCCAAGTTTCATTTTGAGCCTTCTCCAATGCAGGTTCGTAATAAACACCTGTGCTTCCAAGAAGTATTCTATAGTGTCTGAAGTTCCGAAGTCTTTTTCCCATTTCATCACAAATATTGTCTGTGCTATCATTGGAGGAGTTTTCACGGTTTGTACTTGATTGACTTGCTAAAGTACCTTCTTCATTTCTGGGAAAGATTTGTGCATTATATTAAATGACCTAGTTAGAGTGACCAAACAAAAGTTCTAAATTTTGACATCAAAGTGTATCAGAAGACAGAAGAATGGTCCCAATAGTTTGGATTTCTTTTTTACAAGCATCCATAGCAGTTTACTTTGAATAAGCCTTGAATTGCATGTTGAATGTTTTAGAAGATTTTTTGTGGTTTAAGATCGCTAAACTTGCTGCATGTATATTTTATTTTATTTTGATGTCAATTTAAAATATACATGACCACCATCATTTTTTCAGACATGTCAGAGTAATGAGATTATGTTACTAAGCTGCAGATCTAACTCCTACTGGTTTTTTTGACTTCGAACTTGTTTTGGACTTATTTTCAGGTTGCCGGCATATTTGATTCAATACTACACAACACAATGCGGCTTGTGAAGAAGGTTGAATTAGGAAAACATATTTGAGGGAAGATCCGAGAGAATTTTTGTTATAGACAAGCTTCTATGAGTTGACCGCACACTAATTAATGTAATTAGAATTCTTTTTTTTTTTTTGGGGGGGCTTGTGAAGAAGGTTGAATTAGGAAAACATATTTGAGGGAAGATCCGAGAGAATTTTTGTTATAGACAAGCTTCTATGAGTTGACCGCACACTAATTAATGTAATTAGAATTCTTTTTTTTTTTGTTTGAACTGGCTTTTTGAAGATTTTTAAACGATAGAAGACAAGTAAAATGGATGTTGAAAAATATTAAATCCGTGTGGTCTCATAAATGCTACTATATTTTTTGTATTCAGTTGCTTGAAAAATTGCTATGCTCTACTCTAGCAGGTATGCAATCTATAAACATAAATTGCCATGTTACTCCTGTCAATTTTCATGAATGTTATGTTGCTATCTACAGATCTAAATGAGTTTAGAGAAAGATTTATAAGGACTGGTAATTTACATCTGCAGGTAAAATATTTCATGTGTAAGGTCCATTTCAAAACAAAGCCCTCTCTGTTCCTTTATTCATTGCCCAAATTTGGCTGTTTGTTTACAAGCTCGATAACTCACAAGGCCAAACAAATCAAATATAGAAAGAGAAAAAGGAAAAAACCATATATATATGTATACGAATTAAAATCAATCGACTCTCGGACCATCATGCATCGCTTATTCCCACAACTCCCACACGCAAAAAACAAATAAATCTCAAGCACACCTCAAAACGCGAAGATGAGTGACCCAAAGAGGGCTCCAACGGAGCTCATGATGCCCACAGCCTTCAAAGTAGCCGAATTTGGCGGCGGCGGCGGCGGTCTTGACTCCTCCCCGGTCGGAACCGGTGCCGGCGTAACTTCTGCGGTTGCTGGCGCCGGGGGAGGAACTTCTGCAGGAGGCGGCGGCGACGGAGGAGATGTTGACGGCGCCGGAGGGCGGCCGGCAACGAGGAGATTGAACGGACGCCGCAGGGTAGCCGGTGCAATCGCTGGCGATAGGCGGCACGGGTGTCGTTCGGCGTTGCTGCTGCGGAGGGAGAAGGAATAAACAAAGACTAACAGCGGAGGGGAGAAGGGAATAAAACAAAGAATAAAAGAAGAGGGCTGAACGAATCACGGGCATCCAGCTGTCATCCAACTTCAACGAATCACGCCTCTCTTCCTACCACCGCCTTTCGCCACGTTACTGTGCGAAAAATTTTCGCATACCAAGAAAATCCCTTATATATATATTAGGGAAAACGGATCCTGAATGCTCGAGCTCACGGAAAACTTCCTGCGCTTAGGCATGGACGTGCCCACGGCGTGATTGGAGCGATTTCTTTCGAGCGGAGAAATGAGCTCTGGGTTTTTTTGCAAAAGTGCCTTCTCTTGTTCCTAGGTCATTAATTCTCTCTAATGCCTGCTCCTCCTCATTTGCATCCGGCGATCGTCTCTTCTTCTCCCATTTTCTGCCATTTTCTCTCCGAACATTTCTCTGCGCTGCTGAGCTCTGAACCCAACAAGAGATCAAATCCGCGACGAAACTGTTTCAACAAATAAACCTTGTAAGTTGTATTCCTACCTATTTCTGCGTTTTTTGTGTTTCGGATATGCCGTCATCTGATCTGGACGTACCTTATCTTTCTTCAATTTACTCCGCCATTCTCGCCATTTCTCTGCGGCTTCTGAGCTCTGGACCAACAATGAGATCAGATCCGTGACGAAATCCGCTCGCCGGGCAGAGAGGCCCATCGCACAGATCAATTAGGGATTACGCTCGATCTTCGGTTCCGAGAAATTTCCTCGCTCAGTCGAAATCCATTGTAAGTTGTATTCCCCTTCATCTCATTTCGGTTTTTTCTGTTTTAAGATTTGGTTTATGGGATCATACCTATTTTTCTACGATTTGAGGTTCGGATTGCGTTGCTGAGACTGACAGTAGATTTTGTTTCTTTTCACCTCAATTGGTTGAAATTTGGTGCTTAGGTTTTTTAATTCATGTGAATCGCGTTCCTTTTAGTGGGGATATCAGAACAATGAAGGAACTTTTTAGTAGCTTGTTTACAGTACAAAAGTTGGGCTAAAAAATGAAGAACTTTAGTAACCTTATTGAGTTCTTGTCGATTCTATTTCTCTTTTTTTTTTACTCGTAGTCTGATATTTAAAGAAAGTTTAGAAAGAATGATGAACTTAACAAATTGGTATAATCTAAGTTTAAGAATCTTGGACAAAGTGTCGTATGGAAAATGTAGAGGATTGATAAACACAGATTTGATATATCAATCTGTTGATAGCATGTTTATTGTGGGTTAATTATATAACAGATTGATAATGAATCTGTGCATAGGCAACGGAAATAACCCCCAAAAAAACAGATTTTCTTGCATCAACCACTGTTAGCAACGGCCTATTTAAGCCCAATCTGCTTATTTCCCAGCAAAATAAACACTGTAGCAACGGTAATAAGCCCAGGAATCAGAGAATTGACAACGCATCAAAGCACTGTAGCAACGGGTTGTTTATAGTAATCACTGTAGCAACGGCTAGTACAAGGGCGTATGGTGTCTATAAATACACCTTGAGGCCTCACTATAAATTCCCATCTTTCCAATTTTAACCTAAGAAACAATTCCCAAAGCTCTTCAATTTGCTGGCAGGATGATAGCAGAAGGGTGCCATTGCTAATTATGAAGTTATTGGCGAACTGCAATTCCTCCAACATGTCGATGAAAGAGTTGCCAAGAATCGGAAAAATAAGCGGTAGGTGTTATTGGGCGGTGGCAAAATTCCCAAATAAAAGAATGCAATTTTCGAATGTGGTTGAAAGAAAGAGGAGAGTCATCAAAGCAGCCCCAAGGAAGCCAATATGTCAAAGAAAATAGGTACGGAGTATAAATATATCTTAGCAATCAAAGAAGCTGGAAGAAAGAATTGAGACTGTGTCGAAATCAAACTAGCTAGGCTTGGAAAATTTCGGAAATTTTCTTAGCAAATTTTTTGGTGTTATTTTATTATTACAAACTTCATGTCATGTACTTAGTAATTGCAAAAACTATTGAGATGAATGAAAAGCTGTTGTTTTGACGTTGCGGTATTTGTTATGGTTATTTGTTATGGTTATTTGTTTATGATTATTTGGTATACCTTAATATTGTTTCTTTGAGTTTGCTACTCTTAGAATTCCTATTTACTATGCAATTGTCCCCTGCAAATATAAGAATCCTAATTGATATCTTCTTCTTTAACCTTTTAATTTCTGTTCGCTATTGAGCATCATATGAAAGCCTGAGCCAATTTATGATCAATGGTTGCTTTATCTCTTTTCATCTTGACAAAGCTTCTGCATACCTTTATGTACTATTGTTTAGTTTGTCGTTAACGAACATAAAAGAGTGAACTTTGAATTTTATCGGATCAAATCGTCTGTCTGAACAAATATCGCGCAGCATAGTGAACTGAATCGTTTCCACACAAACACGATTTGTCCATCAGGTACAAGTTCATAACTTTTCCAACACAATAGTAAACTGAATTGTTTTCACAAAAGCAACCAACCTTTGACATACTATTACAATAGTGAACTGAATTGTTTTCAAAAGGCAACCAACTCTCCTTCATCCTTCCATCTGGATAAAGGCTGAGGCAATGGCAACTGAATTAAAACCAAAGGAACCAGCTCAGAGAGCTCAGTCAAAATACTAAAAACTCCTCTTCATTTTGCACTTCATTTTTATATACATTTATAAACTAGTGAATTAGCCTATTAATATGATATATGCATGTATTTTTTAAGTGGTCTACAAAACAGAGTCAGGAGGGCGTTAAAGAGCAGCGTTGCAAGTTGAATCAGGTTTATGGGCTACAACAATCTCCTTGCTTTGATAATTCTCGGCTATTAAAATGAAGCTATGTTTATCCATCAAAAATTAAGATGCAAATTGTATTAAACTGGGGATCTCATTCTTTCTTATTTCATTGCTTCTATCAAGCAAAGGAGGGCAGCCATTTACAGCCTATGCTTTGCACACAAATTGAGGGTGAAAGCTCGTACTGAATTCAGCCTATTCAGAGGAACTTATGGCTTTCATATTAGAGGTCTGCTTGCGTTCTGCTACACCAGTTAGGCTATTAATATGATATCTGCATGTTAATGTTTCATCTCAATATGCATGTAATATCACGGCTTAATATCTAGCAATCATATTGTTGTAATTATACCTGAATAGAGGAACTTATGGCTTTCCATAAACTTTGTTCGTTAGTCTTGTTTGTCAGTTTCGCTGCATAAAATATCAAAGATAAAATTAATAATATGATTTAAGTAATAAAATATTTTAACTTGTCAACGTAATTAAACATACCTGGGCTTGTTAACGGTACAGCTAGTCCTATAATGCCCAAGTTGTCCACATCTACTACATGTACGCTTTTGCCTCTCTTTCTTTTCTTGTGCTTGTTCTAAAGTTGATTTAATTCTTGTAGCATTGCGTGGACGACCTTTGGTTCTTGCTTGCTTTTCCGGGTCACGAACTGTAATTTGTGGAATATGTTGGATTGTATCTGAAGTAGGTATCTGTGGAATATCCGAGTCCGGAATGTGGCTGCTACCAGCATCTATTGCTTGACACCCTCTGACTTCTTCTTCAACCCTCTCTATGAAACTTGTTAACAAAGAATCAAGCTCATGCATTCTCTTATCTGACTCAAAGGCAAGCTCCAGTGCATTGTTGGTTTTTGCTTTCAAAGCCCAAGTTTTCAACAGATTTATTTTTTCTACACCGCCTGTAATGTTTTTGCCAAACACAACATTAGTAACTCCAATGTTACGATGTCGAGCATCTATAGTCCAACGGTGTATAATATATACACTGGGCAATGAACAACATTGTCTGTTGAACATTAGAGTGTACAATATATGTTTGCATAAAACACCACTATTCTCAAACATACCACAACTGCAACTATACTGTAATTCTCTACATTCATCATAAGTAACAAACCTCCACTTTTCATTGCTTTCATCTAAGTTACCAACTCGCCATAAAGCAGACTTTTCTTCTTTGGTCACCTCTTGAAGGCCAAGAACACCACACCCTTTGATCTCATTCTGAAATACATGAAACATAGTGCGTGTATAACTACTTCCAGCTTGTCTTTCAATTGGATGCCCAAGGTGAAACTGCGGTTTTGTATTAAGAGTTCTAAAATCTTCATGTGCTTCACTCAATCGTCGATGTGTCACGGCCTTTTCATATTGAGTTACAAATTCTTTTAACTGTGTTTGTGAATTCACATATCCATCAAAGAATGAGTTGATGCTTTCACTCCTTTGAGTTGATCTCATTCCTGCAAAAAAATGCTTTTTAAGAAGCATAACACCCAATGGTCTCGATACATGTACATAGTTTGCAGCCATCCATCTTCTTCTTCTATTATCTTAAACTTCTCCTTCATCTCGAGCCAATGCAAATTACAGTTCTCAATGTTTCCACTATTACACCACAAGTCCCAATATTTTTGAAATTCTTCACCATAAACAGAATTCAAAGTATGCAAATGATCGGCGATATGTCGCTGCAGATGCCAATAACAATAACGATGCCTTGTATTTGGAAAGACTTTATGAATGGCATTGCACATTGCTCGGTCTTGGTCTGTGATGATAGCACCTGGTTCAATTCCATGCATGCAGTTTAACCATTCCTGAAATAACCAAACAAATGTTTCTTCTTGTTCATAATATTGTTGTGCCTTTGAGTTTTCATATAGTCAATGCACTGTTGTGGTGTTACTGATTCATCTTCTCTACCGCTTGTGATGCTAATAACACGAGAAATAGTGGAAGGAGTAATACCTTCTTCTTGCAAACATTGGATAATTTTTTTAAATCTTTTACTTCTATGAAATTGTTGTTGTGACCTGTGCATCTTTGCTTTATCGGGACTACTGAGCATGTGGTTTGTATGATCTTCAATAAAACCTATAACTTTCCATGTTTTATCCTCCATTAATTTTATTCTCATCATTGCTTTACAGCCAACTCTGGTCTCTCGCCGATGATTAATATTTTTCCCTATATCTCTCTTGTCTTTATTAGATCTATAACCTTCTTTGTCACAAACAAATTTTCTATTCAATACTTCTTTATCTTTCTGGGAGTAATTCACTGAGCTTTTTCTGATTCCAAATCCCATCATCAATGCATACGAGTTATAATAGTCATAGGCCTCCACATGACTATTAAACTTCATTCCTAAAAATGGTTTTTCACCAATTTGCATTTGACTTGCATTTCTACATTCAGATGTACTATCATCATTAAACATCGTGCTATTTATCTCCTCCATTCTGAAATAAAGATAATTGTTGAAAAAGAAAATCAGATCGACAAGAACTCACATACAATACAATTTACCAAAACTCTTTCAAATCTGAAGAATAACAACAGAGACATGAACTTGTTGAGAAAAGAAAGAGAAAGAAAGAAGCCAATTTAGATGGAAAATACTTGCTAAACGTTACATTGAATTTAGATGGAAAATACTTGCTAAAAGTTACTGTAAACAAATTTTGTCCTCAGGAACTTATCCAGGAGCCAATTTTGTACTGTAAACAAAGCTACTAAAAGTTCTTCATTTCTGATTATCCTCACTAAAAAGGAACCGATTCACATGAATAAAAACCCTAAGCACCAAATTTCAACCAAATTGAGGTAAAAGAAACAAAATCTACGTCAGCTCAGCAACCAATCCGAACCTCAAATCGTAGAAAATAGGTAGATCCCATAAACCAAATCTTAAAACAGAAAAACGAAAATGAATGAAGGGGAATACAACTTACAAGGATTTCGACTGAGCAGGAAATTTGCTGGGAACCGAAGATCGAGCGTAGATCCTAATTGATCTGTCGATGGGCCTCTCTGCTGAGCGGATTTCGTCACGGATCTGATCTCTTGTTGGGTTCCAGAGCTCGAGCGCAGAGAAATGGCGGAGAACTGGCGGAGTAAATGAAGAAGAAAGGACGTCAGATCAGATGACCAATCCGAACCAAAAAACGCAGAAAATAGGTAGGAATACAACTTACAAGGTTTATTTGTTGAACACAGTTTCGTCGCGGATTTGATCTCTTGTTGGGTTCCAGAGCTCGAGTATATATATATATATATATATATATATATATATATATATAGATAATTATTTTAGAGTAAATGATACAAAAACATTTAGATAGAGCCTAAAATAGGGTACTGAAACACTTTCAGGTCACAAATGAACCACGGCAGGTAAATCAGAAAACTTGAAGCTAAATGCAATGACATAAAGAAGCAGAGTACTTGAGAGCACAAGTTGACCCACAATTTTATGTCAGATTGCAAATACCTAAAACCTGTGCACAATACAAAGAGAGTGGGGAAGTATGCCAAAATTGAGAAAAAATTCTGCTCTTTAAGGTTTCAATTCTTGAAATAACCAACCTCTTGCTAAGGGTTGGACATCAAGTTGACCTTGTGTTTAGACTGTGGCGTCCCTTTATACAAGTTCAGCATAGGAAAAGTCCTATCGAGTCTCTTGACAGAATCCTCGGTAAAAACATCCTTAGATACCAACTCTCTCGCCAATTCCATAGCTTCAGGTCTATGCCCAGCATAAGCAATTCCTTCAACAAGAAGAATGTAAGTAGTCTCGTTCGGCCTACATCCCTTCACCGTCATCTCCTCGAGTACATCGATCCCTATATCAATCCTATGAGCCTTGCACAATCCGAGAAGCACGGTGTTATAAGTGATCACCGTAGGCTTAAACCCTCCACTCTCCATGTCCCTCATCAATCCTATAGCCTCATCCACCATCCCATCTCTACACAAACACGAGATCAAAACGTTGTAGGTAATCTCGTTGGGGTCGATTCCCCTCTCCATCATCATCGATACCATCTCAAGAGCCTTCGATCGGTTCCCACAGTTCCAAAGACCACCGATAAGTGCATTGTATGTACTCGTGTTTGGAGAGCATCCTGTTTCCTCGAGATTATCCAATATCTCCAACGCGTGGTCGGGGTTTCCGCTCTTGCATAATGTAGCCAAGATTGTGTTGTAGTTGATGATATCGGGTATGCATCCATTTGATATCATGTAGTCCATGAACTCGATCGCCAAATCTAGCCTCCCGTTTTTACAATAAGCTGAAATTAACGGGTCATAGTTGTAAGTATCGGGTTTCAATCCTTTTTCGACCATATCCTTCAGCACTTCTCTTGCTCGGTCCACCATCCCCCCGTGACACAAAGAATTGATCAGAATGCTGTAAGTTGCGTTATTTAGCTTATACCCTTTAGACATCATTTCGCCGATCAATTTCTGACCATCATCCCATCTTTTCCTACTCAAAAACCCCCGAAGCAATATGTTATAAGAGACTACATCGGGCTCACATCCTCTCGAAGGCAACGCGTTCAAGAACTCATGAGCTTCATCCACAAACCCCTCTTTACACATCCCTCTGATAATCGCATTGTACGTATAGTTATCGGGTGTTAGCCCCTTTGATGTCATCTCATCCAAAAGCTTCATAGCTTCCCCTATTCCCCCGTCTAATATCGTTGCCTCGATCAAAATAGTATAAGTAACGACCGTTGGCTGGCAATTATCAGACAACAACTGATCAAGAACCTCAAGAGCCAACCCCAACTTCCCTTTGCTACAAAGGCTCCCAATTAGTATGTTGTACGTAACAATATCAGGAGGGCAATTTCTACTTCTCATCCTAGCCAACACTTTGGTGGCTGAATCGAATTGGTTGGCCTTTGTGAATCCGCTGATGAGTGCATTGTACGCGAACACATCAGGCTGGCCGTAGTTCTCAAGGGTTTGCATGACTTTAACAGCTTTATCGGGGTTCCTAGTACCGAAGAAGCCTTTGATGAGCTTTGTGCATAGGATCACATCGGGCTTGTATCCTCTGTTGACCGTGTATTCAAGAAAGTAGAGGGATTCATTATACTTACCGGCCTTGAAGGATCGGTTGAGGAGTTTCATGTAGTGCGTCTCTTTGGATTCGAGGTTCGGTTGGGGTTGTGGTGGCCTAGTTGATGATGAAGAGCAGAGTTTGGTGGTGGTGTTGTTGATATTTTGGTTCTTGAAAGTGAATGCTGAGGCACTGTAGGGGACGGAGGGAGTGTGTTTGTGGAGGGGATGATGAGAGGGGAGAGGGTGGGGGAAGAAGTCAGGCAATGAAATGGTCATTTTGAGCGTGTGTTATCTTCCTTCCTTCTTTCAGTGTTTTCTCAAGATATCACTGAGATATTTTTGAGAGGAAAAGATAACGTAAGAGATGATGATGGATTGAAGCTGAAGAAAGAAGAGAGAAGGATTTTACCTGAATAGTTGTGAACTTGTAAAGTGGGGGATTTGTGGTTTTTGAATATGTGGTGAAAAGAAATAGTAGGTTAAGTGTTTAGATAAGGTGAAGAAGGGAGGGAAAGTGTTAGCTCACTTATTTGTTGTTTGTGGGCCCCCCAAGACAGTGGCCTCCCTCTCACTTTGTTCTGTGGCTTTGATGGGTCAGGTCAGCAGCAAGTTAGCAACTGCATCTAAAAACACATAATCAGCTGAAGAGGTCAGAATTCATGGGGAAAAGCCAAATAATAATAAAAAGAGACTTCACAATTAATTGTAGCAAAGCCAAATGAACACAGTTTAATCCATACATCATACTCTAGGATAAACCATTTCTTCCTTTCTAATTTTGCCACTATGTTTTCAGTTGACCTGTGGAAGGAAAAAGAAGCTACAATTGTAACATTATTGTTGGTGCACCCGCTCTGAATCAGAAAGTAGTAGAATCTAAGAATCTTAATCTCACATCTTCAGCAAATGCACAATACATAGCTCAGGATCTCAACTGAGCATTAAAGCGAGCCAGATTTCATTCCCCCAAAAATACCATGTTGGCAATAAACCTGCAAGCAAATGAATCTTCACCATGTAACTGTGAATTCTCCACGGCGCAGTGACTTCAAAATGTTTCCTTTTTACCAATCTACCTTCCAACTACAAAGCAAGTCTGTCTCCTGAAGTAGAAAGTACTCAAACAAACAAACAAAAAGAAGCAGAAGAAGAATAATAAGAAGAAGAAGAAACAAGTTAATCACAATGTTTGTCTCTTCAGAACTCTGCTTGAAAACTGGTGAATAACTACAATAGTACGATATCAGCAAAGATTACATAAATGATCACATAAGACCACTGCTCAACAAAATCCCCACATCAAACTGTAGTCTTATACACCGCATGAAGTAGATTATAGCAGTTGCAAACATCACAAAATATTCCTTAGGATCTCAAACCAATTGTCTTTTCCTAGAATTTTAGAGATATGAGCATCTGAAGCTCGGATATCAGTACTTTAGGGGCGGTTTCTGGGTTGGAAGCAATCCAAAGCGTTTCTTCAGAAGAACTCGCTGCCTAGAGTACTTGTCATCTGGCGAGAAGCGAGCTGCGCCAGAGAGAAATAAAACAATCAGAGTACAACTCAATCATTAAACAAAGAAGGATTCACAAGTTGAGCAGAGAGCGGAAAGGATTCAAGAAGTCAAGCATTACAAGCAAGCATTTCTTAGACAAAGGGATATGAGATAATCGACAATAAGACGATTAATAAATTAAATTGAAAAGGTCCCAGCATATGAAAATTTAAAAATTGAAAGAAGAGAAAGGCCAAATCCATGCAACTTCCATCAATACCCTGATTATTAGTACATTTTTAGGCTATTCTATGAAAGCCACCTTAAAGCAGTAAGCATAGCTTATTTTTTACTTCCTCAGAGTGTATTGGAGCTCCCACACCATCTTATTTTCTGGCAGGGAACAAATGTAGGACAAAAGGTTGCTCAAGGGTTGAGATGTCTTGAACAATCTGATAGAAATAGTGAGATTACAATGTGAATGACAAACAGATCAAGATCATAGATATTCAAGGGTGGATTTTCTAAAATTTAATGAAGTTGGCTTCACAAATGCACCCATTCAATTTGAAAACTAGATGCCAAAAGAATCATCAACACTCTCTTTCCAAGAGAGATCCAAATAAGGGGAGTATGACCTTGAAGAGTTTATGTTGAACTAAGTTTGACCATAAGTCTCAAGAAACACTGACTCGTGATCTCGGCCGGGTATAAGAATACATGTGAGTCCCTTATATCTTTCATATTTTTGAAATTAGTCCCTCAAATCATGGAAATTGCTATCAGGTCCTTAGGTTAATTTCAAATTAGTTCCTCAACCCATGGTGCTATTAGGTTCCCCAATTATTAACTTATTTTGAAATTAGACCCTCCGATCAAGAGTAGAAGTAGCAATTGGAGAGTCTATCAAGTAAAATCTATTGTTGTGAACTATTAGCTCCAATTCTCATAATTTGTTTCAAAATAATCTCTCCAATTGCTATTTCTACTTGATTGGAGGGATTAATTTCAAAATAAGTCAAAGTTTGGGGGACCTAATAGCAATTTCCATGATTTGAGGCCCTGATTTGAAGAAGTTAACCTAAGAATTGAGGGACTTGAGCAATTTCCATGACTTGAGGGACTAATTTCAAAATTTAAAAGATTTAAGGGACTAATATCCACACAAAAAAAACCTTGTGAATGTGCTGGTTGTCAATGCTGGTTTAAAAATGGATATGAGAAAAACAGATAAAATTGAAGAAACAAAATACTAGTTATATGATACAAGAGTTGTCTAAATCAAACAGAGTGTCTTAAATCAAATGTGTGAATGTGTTCAATATTTCTCAAATTTCATGGCAAATTTAGAAGAAGAAAAAAACTCTTTGAATAGCTGAAGACTTCAATAATTCATGAGATGAGGCTTGCACCATTACAAACCTAGAGACCTCTGTTTTCAGAAACCAAGATAGGACATAACACTTTATTAGCATAAAACCTAGATTCTAATTGAAGACAAAGAATCCGGTAAATTTAGCACTGTTGTAAATAGGTATATGTGCTAAACTTTATGCTTTGTAGTAAGGAGAGTTTCCTCATGCACTTTTATGTAGCTGTATTGTGAATTTCATTCTTTTCAAAGAAAGAGAACGATCAAATTCCTTTTTTTTAAATAATAGGACTAATTGTATTTTATCTATATGACACTTTATTGACAAATAACGTCCAAAATTTTCATATATTCCTCGAACTATGGATTTTTATTTAGGTCGCATACCGTTTATCATATTTGGAGCATGCGTGCATGAACCAACTCGATAAGAGAAAATGTATGTTTCAGAAATGACCAAATTCTTTGTCATAGAGAAACTTGAGGATCAAACATTAAGCAACAAGAGCAGTGCATGAATTTTGATCATCATTCTTTGCATAGCAATCCCCTAGTATCCTAACTTCAAAACTTGAAGATGTCAGCTTTTTAGCATATCTAATGATTCATTTTTCTCATTGTTATATATATACCTCCTCACTTACCTTAGTCAACCTGCAGTGGCCAACAAAAAAAGGAAAAAGGGGGACAGAGGCACAAATTTTTGTCCTTTCTTAAATCTTTTCTGTTCTTTTTGAGACAAATCTTAAATCATTTCTTTGTTCATTATCGTTTTATCCCCATATGTTTAGAAAAGCATATTAAGATAATATGTGTTTTCTGCATTTTTTATCATAGATTTCATTGATGTTTCAAATTTACAAACCATCGTAATTGTTTATATTCAACCAGAAAGGTTTTCATTCAAGGCTGTGTTTGTATAATATTATGACTTAATTTGTAGCTTCTGGTAGACGATAACTAACTGGAATGAAATTATAAATTAGCATGAGCCTCGGTTAAGTGTTATTTTACATATCTTTCTCGTTCTTCAGATACGTGTTTTGGTTATTTCATATTTAAGACGAATATTTTCTGTTTTTGTCTTCTTTAACCTCATCCATGGACCATTTTGCCAGCTATGCCAAGGATAAATATTTTTTTAATAATCATATGATCGCAATAACTCAGTTCTGGTTCTTAACAGAATTACGCCTGCATGTCCTTCATATCACAACATAAATACTTTTTTTTTAAATAACTTTAGAAGAAAAGGAGACATATGCTAAGTGAAGCTTGAAACGATGACATAAAGAAAACTTGCTCTGCCAATGAAGCTTCTAATGCTAAAATTGGGACAGTTGAAAGCCCATACCTGTTGATTCAAGTTCAAACACTTGTAACAGATTTATCAAAGACTTTGCATCCTAAAAGGATTTGCACAACAAAGAAGATCCACAAAAGTTACATTGTAAGAAAAACAGTTCATTTAGTAATCATTTCATCTATTAATGTTTTATTTTATTATTTTATTTAATATCATAAAATACATCTTCTGTAGGATAAAAAGAACATCAATAAATCATAGTCAAACAGTGGAGGTTATAACAAACGTCGTGCAGGATCAAAAGGTAAGTTTTGAAATTATCTGTTCTTCCTAATTAGAATATTAATAATTCTGAAACATGTAGAGTCCTAATTAACTGTAATTTACTTTTGATTTAATTAATTAGGTATAAAAATTTTATAGCAAACAATGAATCTATCTTTTCATGTATTTGAATTTTGTCGAGGCACAGATTCTCAAGCAATCACTTTGGGAACCTTGTTTACTTGGATGCAAATATATGTTTCAAAAGAAATTAGGACCAATTATCTCACTTAAAAAAAGAAATATGATGTATTATATTAAATTTCCATATTGTACTTCTCTAGCAAAAGAAAACCACATGTAAATTCCCTTTCTTTTTAGCCTGTGTTATATTTCATGTACTGTTGTCAGGCATGAATCTTAGAATTACTTTTTCAAAAACATTTTACAATCTTTCTTCATTCAAACTGTTAAGCAGCCTAGTATTAGGTTTATCTTACAGTCTAATTAACTTCGCAAAGCCATAATTGAAGATTTTGCTCAACAATTTCATAAAACTTGTTACCTTTCCATTTTAGATCATGGTTGCTGCAACTATACGCGAGTTTCAGAAGCTGGCTTGCTACACCAAATATATATATTCGATATACAACGTTTATGAAATTAGATAGCAGATAAGTTGAAAATAATTCTTTAAAGAGTTGATAACAATGCAATTTGAAAAGTATATACTTTACAACAATTATTGGTCTTGTCATGAGCATTGTCGACAATTCCCTCAGAGTCAATCATAATTATGCGAAGAAGGAGGTTATTATCAAAAGCAATTGATGACAAGTTATTAGTTTTGAATCTTTTGATCTCAATTGCATTTAAATTCAAGGAAAGATGATCGAGAAACAAAAAAGCGATGTATCCTGACCCATTTGATAACTCCATGTGCAAATATTGGCCTAACTAATAGAACATAGCAAGAAAATTTTCACACCTTTCAGCACTTTGATTCCTTATATAATCTCCTTAAGGACTGCTTGGTTAGGCTTTGAGGCACCGAAAATAGGAAAACCAACAATTATGGAAATATATTTCCATTTTTTATTTCCATTTGATCGTTTGGTTGGCTACAAAGAAATGGGAAATTAATGAGTTGGGGCCCACAAAGTACTGAAAAGCACCACAATCATTGTTTTAAATATCGGTCGATAATCGATATTATCGGCCGAGTTATCGGATTTGGGAGCTCTCCGCTAGGATAAATTGGATTTTTAATCGGTTATCGTTTTTCTAGGTTTATCGGTGATTTATCGGCGTTATCGGCACTTATCGGCCGATAAGTAAGACTTTTTTATCGGGATTATCGGCCCATTTTGACTAACATTATATTTTTTTAAGGCTATGATGCAAGTTTCGCTTTCTACAATTGGTTAATGATTCTAAACATGATGATTTATATTTTGGTATGTTTATATTTTATTAAGCATGATTAGATTATATTTTTTAATTGTTATATTATATATACACATCATCCAGTATATCACTCCGATAAATACTACTTATCCCCGATATATCCCCGATTTCCGCTATCCGATAAGGATTTTAGCCGTTCGATAAATCCCGATAACCGATATTTAAAACCTTGACCACAATAATGTGGTTTTTTGTGGAAATCAATATCCACGTGTCTTTTTTCTTTTGTGAAAATAGATGGAAAACACAGACCCATTTATACGATTTTCAAATAAGGAGTAATGATGGATCCAAGGTTTTAAATGTCGGATGTCGGGTTCATGTCGGAAAAATTCATGTCGGATAGCAGAAATCGGGGATATGTCAGGGGACATGAAAAAAATATCGGATTGCCATATCGGATGGTGAGCATATATATAATATAAATATCATAAATAAAATCTAAACAGACATAAAACATTCTATTGCCTAAACATATAAAAAAGTAAATAACTTATGATGCTTAGGGTTGATGTTGAAGGAAAGAGGTGAGAAAAGAGGACTCCGATATTAGAGGTTAAGAAAAAAGAAGATCGACCGATATTGATGTCGAAGGAATAGCTCGGAGAAGAGACCGATGAGATGTCGAAGGAGAGAGAGAAGATGAGCGATGGATATTACTTCGGTATTTTTTTCCATTTCCCTTAACTTATCGGTTTTTGTCTTTGAAAGTAATATTAAGGCAATCAAGAATTTAAACCCAAACCTAATTAGATAAACATAAACAACAAAATAAAAAAATCAGCCAATTTTTCAGACCGAAAAATCGGTCGACATAACCAACAAATCACCCGACATATCTGACATGTCCCCCGATATATCTGACATGAACCCTAAAAATGCAATACACATTGAAAAGCTCAATATCGTGTCATTTGGCCTCTAAATCCGACATGTCAGCCGACATGTCCAACATGTGGGCCGATATTTAAAACACTGATCGAATCCAATAAAACAAAGGAAGGATGAATGAGAGGATCAAGTTGCTTTGATACACAGGTAATGCGACCCCACCTAGTATGACTAGAAAGTAACTAGTAAGCTCTCCAGGTAGGGATATTTGAGTTTCATAGCTTTACTAAACTACACCACCGATTTGAACAGATAAGAAAGTGGGTAAGAGGGAGAAAAAATAAGACAGAGAAGTGCATATCAAGACCTTAGGTTTCAATAGAAACAAACTTCATTCACCATCACCTTAGTTTTCAATAGAAACAAACTTCATTCACCATCAGTCGCTAATTGCTCAACCAAATTCAAGCTTTATATTGAATTTTAGAATGACCTTATAGGATACCATAACTTAAAACATAAAGGGTCTTAGCTGCACAGATTCAAACATTGTTTCATGTTATGCTACATTACCACCAACTTGCTTTGTGTAACAATTAAGAATAAGAATACAGATTTTGATTCTGCTGATTCAGGTGATGCCATATCTCTAAAATTTAAGTCATTAGGTTTAGAAGTCCATACATCCAAGTGATATGAAAAGAAACTCTTCCAATTGCCAAAAGCAAATAGATCACATGACAAACTATCACCTATAAAGTTAACAAACATTACATGATAGGAAGGCAGAGTAGATGAACGTTTCAAAGATTTTGTGTCAACTAGTTACAACATAATAAATCCACTAGCTCCATGATTAGTAGTAAATGCTGGGACAATGACTAAAACATTTAACATGACTTTAGTCTTTAGTTAATTAATTTTTTTTGCAAAACGATGAATACTTGCATAATTGTACATGAGAGTTTCCAAGTAACTTATGAATAAAGGAACTAAAAGCGGATAGATGGATGGCCAAGATTTGCTCTACCAGATGAGAGATCTTAGGTTTGATTCCCATCATCTATAATGAGAGTGCCCCAAGGGATCTCATCCTACTAATTAATCAGTGTCATGTGGAAGGGACACATATCCGCAGAATTAAGCATGTGATAAAAAAAAATCAGGATATCCTTGCGAATATGACCGAAATGATGTTCCTACTTACATGAGCCTCTCAGAAAATATATAGCAGTTATAAATAGTAAAGTATCATGCACTCATGAAAGGAAAATAAAAGTGATATTATACAAAAACGACAACAAAGCCTTTATCCCAAATTATTAGGGCTGGCCATATAAATCCTTTTCTTCATTCAATTGTGTTGACGGGCACCTTTGCTACTTAATCATTACCATATTCTTCTTTAACTGCTTCAGACCAAGTTCTTTTAACTTAATTGGAAAGGTGATATTATAAACACATTTAGAGAAATGGAAAACTTATTTAGCCATAGTAGGTTGAATTTGCAATGCATAATAACAAGGAAATCCTAGAAGGAGAATATAATATACCGGGATGAGCAGATTGTGTTACCAACCCAAGCGGTGACTCTTTCTGCAAAGATTAACCATCATCATTAACACAAACAATACTGTGAAATACAAAGACAATTCGTACAAAAATTGACAATTTTAGAAGCACCTGCTCCACAAATTTAGTAACAACTAACAATGTAACTCTTCAAATCATGCAATACAGACCTAAACTCTTATCATAATGCTAACTAATCCAGAAGCAATGGGCACTGGTATAGAAAATTTCTCATTTTGATTGAAAATCTAAAGGGAACTAGCAAAACAAAAATCTTGTACCTTGGTTGTGTAAACCTTGTCCCCGTTGTCGTTTATGTAAAATTGAAGATACATGGTGCTAATTCTGCAAAATGATCCAAATTTTGACCTGCAAATATTGGCGAAAAAATAATAAAGATCGTTCAAAATTGATGAGAAATTATTTTAGAATAATAGCATGTTCATTCTCGTCTTTGGATCGAGAAAAACCCTAATTTCGTTCGATGTAAGAATGAATTATACGTACCCGGAGGCGCCACCGATGACCTCCGCTGCTTTCCGGAGAGACTAGGGTTTTAGAGAGTTCAGGGTTTCGAGGTACAATTATCACTTGGTTACTTTTCACATACGCCCTTGTCTATATATGTTATTAGTGCTTTGCGTTAATGATTTTTTGGGTTAATTTCATAAAACTCCCTGACATTTCGTGCCACTGTAAATAAACCCTTGACTATTTTAATTCCAGAAGACCCATTGAACTTCGGGGTGTTGTAGAGAATCCTTCCAAACGTTTCTATTCCACAAAATCCTTTTTTTTTCTTTTTCCTTTTTTGGTAATCACACGGACTGCTGGTAAAATGATCGGGTACTAATTAGTAAGAGGGATCTTACTTACCGCGTTGAAAGCGTGTGAATGCCCATAGTGGGCTTGGACCGACATGTATTGGGCTTTTAACGGCTGGGTACAGCTAAGCTGGGCCTACACATGATTCCACCGTCAGTTTGATGTCTTTTCTATAGCTATATTTTCTTAATTGTTGTACTATCCGTACTAAGAACGTTATTAATAATAGGGACCCTTAGTAATATGAGAAGAGTGGTGATAGGGGTACACCCCAAACCACACTACCAACCACACTCTCCTCTCTCATTTGCTACAGTACACGGGGCCCTACATGAGATTTTAAAAATTTAAAATCTCATGTAGGGCCCCGTGTATTGTAGCAAATGAGAGAGGAGAGTGTGGTTGATGATGTGGTTTGGGGTGTGCCCCTAGCATTTCTTATATGAGAACTTGACATGGGATTGACAGTCATCCGTGTGGGGCCATTGTCTATAGGGTATAGGCTCCTTATACCGAATAGATCAAAACATTTAACTTTTAAAAAAGTATATAAGAAAGTATTGAAAGTAGGGTTTTCAGAGAAATAAATGTTTTTTGTTTAAAATTAACAGAAGTAGTGTCTATTTCTTTTATTTCAACTACTTCATAATTACTTTCATATAAACAAACAAGCACTGAAGTCATTTTTTGGTTAGAGTAGTGATGAGTGTATTACATTTCTCTACTACTTTGGCACTGCCACTCATAAATGGCCACTCACAAATGAGTAGAGTCATAATGAGTCGTCAATATAAGTTTTAAGTGAGTCCCCACTCCATTATAAGTAGTATTGCCAAAATAGTATGGAAAAGTAGTACACTTTAACATTTTTGTCTTGGGTTTCGTTAAAATTGATAGACCCCACCTTTTATTAAAACAATGTCCACACTATATTTTTTTTGTAATATCACACATTTTCAAACTTTTTGTGGATATGTGCTTGAATCTGAGTTAAATAAAAGAACAAATTTTTTAAACAGACCCATTCCAACTTTTTATTTTCAAAACCGACTCTTTTTTTTTTATTTACCAAAACCGACCCGATTTTGTGATTAGCAGACTAATCACCTTCCTAAATAGTCGGGGTTGGCAACCCCGACTATTTAGGACATTAATTTTTAGGGTTTAATGCTTCTAATTAGGGTTTAACACCGTCCTAAATAGTCGGGGTTGCCAACCCCGACTATTTAGGAAGGTGATTAATCTGCTAATCATAAAATCGGGTCGGTTTTGGTAAATAAAAAAAAAAAAAGTCGGTTTTGAAAATTAAAAATTGAAATGAGTCTGTTTAAAAAATTTGTTCTAAATAAAATTGTAATGAATTAAATATGGAAATGAAATGATCATTTACATTCTCATAAACAGGATGCAATTAGATACGAAATGGAATGATTATCTCTTGCATAGTTACTTTTGTGAAACCTTTCCCTTTCTCACATTTACCACCGAACTAAGCACCCCCTTTTTCTACTCCTATCAAAATCTCATTAAGATCATCTCATGAAAATATAGTACGTCTAGTGAATTAACAAAGGCGGTTAGAAAAAAAAAAAATATCATGACGGTGTCACATCTTTCGCCGACAAATCCAAAACGTTAGGTTAAAAACATCAACAAAAAAGTAACAGTAAAATTAGGAAATTGATCAGAATCTAGATTTGTCAATAATGTAGTTTAATTTAACCCACTTGCCCAACCGAGCAGCTAATCACAGCCTAATTCCCGTTATTTGCCCAAATGGCACTCAATAAATGGCCTTCCCTTTTATTACCCAGATTCTCTCTCTACCCCCCGAGATCTGCACTCACTCCCACTCTCTCTCTATCCTCTGCTCTCTCTCTCTCTCTCACCTCATTTTCTATTAACTGACCTTTATTTATATACCCATTCTTATTTGGGCATCTTTCAATCACAATCTTCTGTCTTCAGATCCAAATTCAGATCCGACCCATTTCTCAGCAGTGAGTTTCCTCTCATCCAATCCAGTCAAAATCTCATTTTGACGCTTATTTCGTAGATTTTTCTTCATTTAATTCCTCCCAGTTCTTTCTGGGTTCCTGATTGTTTGATTCTTTTGGTGGATTTATTGCCTTGTTGTTTGTCGGCGGCTAGTAGTAAAATTTACTGGAAAAATATGTAGTTCAGCTGCAAGTATGTAATGGGTGATGGATTAAATGTTGTCCCATGCATTTTCTGCAAATTCTACAATTTTTTTGGAGTGTATTTGATTGATGGGTATTTCAATTTTGATTGTCTGGAATCGATGTATCTATCTGGGTTCAATCCATTTTTGCACTTTTATTGGTATTATTCAGAGTTTGATATGGAGATCTGTGGCTTAATAAAAATGCTTTATAAAAAATCCTATAACTGAAAAAAAATATCAAGTTGTGTAGTATCCGTATGATTGTTACAGTTGATAACTGATGTTTTATGGGTTTGTTTATTTGCAGGAATTTACTTCATATTGGGTAGTTTCTGTTTAATTTTATCAGATCTTGGGGTCTATGAGAGAAAGGCAATAGAGTTTTAATTACACTGATATACTCTCCTATAGCGTGAAGTATTGGATGTGGTTGTAGTTGAATTTATCTTAGGATTTTGTTAGTTTCCACAAATATGAGGGGGAGAGCAGATGGAGGTCAAAAGAAGAACTTGGTGCCATGGATTTGTGCTGCTGTGCTCTTTATAGTCTTTTTATTCGTTTATTATGGATCTTTCTTCGACCCTCAAGGACAGCATGCTAGTACCGCTTTAGAGTATGGTAGTAGATTTTCTAGGTCTCTCGGTTTCAACATTGATGATGATGGAGAAGTTGCTCAAACAAACGAGTCCATTTTTGGAGAAGAGGGCGATAGCGTTGCGCTCAAGAGCATTCCAGTGAGCACTCATTTCAACTAAGCTCATTTTGCTAGTAGTATTCTAGGTAATTTCCATATGCTAATAGTTAATCTCCTTTTTCTTTTTCCGGGAAGGTTTGTGATGATCGCCATTCAGAGTTAATTCCTTGCCTTGATAGGCATCTGATTTATCAGTTGAGATTGAAATTAGATTTGTCTTTGATGGAGCATTATGAGAGACATTGCCCCCCACCTGAGAGACGTTACAATTGCTTGATCCCTCCGCCTCCTGGTTATAAGGTGAGATAGGGGGATCTTCTATACTAATATCCCTCATCTTCATTCTTATTTTTGTTTTTATTAAATGTTTGTTATTTTGTTTTATAGGTTCCTATAAAGTGGCCAAAAAGCCGAGATGAAGTGTGGCAAGCTAACATACCACACACTCACCTTGCGCACGAGAAGTCTGATCAGAGGTGGATGGTTGTGAAAGGTGACAAGATTGAGTTTCCTGGAGGTGGCACCCATTTTCATTATGGAGCTGATAAATATATAGCTGCACTTGCAAATGTAAGTTTGGTTCAGTTATAACACTTCAAGTGACAGCATAAATTTAAGAAGCAATTGCTAGGTTGCAAAAGCTCATGAATGAGAGATGAATTAGGTTTATCTACGCGGTAGTAGCTGACGTAAAAGGACCAAGCATATTTAGACTTAAAAGGACCGAGCATATTTAGCCATATATCCATCTAATCGTTTTTTCAACATGGGACCAAATCACTTCTCTTATCTGTTTGCTAAAGAAACCTACATCTGAATTAATTGGGTGAGAGAGACTCATTAAGTGCTTTCTTAAGCATTGCTTATTGTTTCCTAGATTTTGGTTCTTTCTTCATGCTTTGAAGTCAATTGATTGCTGACTTAGTTGATTGATTCCTTTTTGAACTGACAGATGCTGAATTTTTCGAATAATAACTTAAACAACGAGGGAAATCTCCGTACTGTTTTTGATGTTGGGTGTGGAGTTGCAAGCTTTGGAGGATACCTACTTTCATCCGATATTGTAGCAATGTCACTAGCACCAAATGATGTTCATCAGAACCAGATTCAGTTTGCTCTTGAAAGAGGAATCCCTGCTTATCTCGGTGTCTTGGGGACTAAGAGACTTCCTTATCCTAGTAGATCCTTTGAACTTGCTCATTGTTCTCGTTGTAGGATTGATTGGCTTCAAAGAGACGGAATTCTTCTGCTTGAGTTAGATAGAGTGCTAAGGCCTGGGGGCTACTTTGCTTATTCGTCTCCCGAAGCATATGCACAAGATGAAGAAGATCTAAGAATTTGGAAAGAGATGAGTGCTCTTGTTGAGAGAATGTGCTGGAAAATTGCAGCAAAAAGGAACCAAACTGTTATTTGGGTAAAACCTTTGACTAATGATTGTTACTATAAAGCAAAAAGGAACCAAACTGTTATTTGGGTAAAACCTTTGACTAATGATTGTTACTATAATAGGGAACCTGGAACCCAACCTCCAATGTTTGACTAATGATTGTTACTATAATAGGGAACCTGGAACCCAACCTCCAATGTGCAGCTCTCGTGATGATCCAGACGCAGTTTGGGGTGTTCCAATGAAAGCATGTATTACTCCTTACTCTGAACGTGAGTATCCTCTCTCTATGAAACTCTTTATCCTCAAAAACCCTGATATTGTACTCTTTGCTGGATATATTCTACTCAATACCAAGTTCGGTAGTCTCCACAATTATTTGTTTGCTTGAAGAGTTACTCACCCTTATTCAATATTAATGGAAAGAGGATTGTCACCAATTATAGTAGTTTATGATGAATGTTAGATAAAATATTTGCATGAAAAGAAACCTATAAAATACAACGATATTGATCTTAGTAAAGATGAAACAGTAATGGCCATAATATTATTTAAATTCTTATCAGATTGGCTATAATATGGGGGGTATATCTGCAAGTAACCCTTATTTAAATCCCTATCAGATGTTTACTTGAATCTATGTTCTTAAAGCTGATAATGCTTGCTGTTTCTCATTGTCTAACTAAATTCTGAAATGGGCCCCGTAAGAAATGAAGAAAGTTTTAGTGGGGGCACTTAAATCATTTTAAAGCATTCTTTCCAAAGGACTGAAAACATCCAATAAAGGTCGAGGCCAGAATATTTATTGTTTTCACCTGTGTATGCTGAAGCCTAAATTTTTCCATATGTAAACCTTCATATCTGAACTTTTGTTAACCAAGGTATGATTCTATTTTTCAGAGAATCACAGAGATCAGGGCAGTGGATTGGTTCCATGGCCAGCTCGGTTGACTACCCCTCCTCCTCGGCTAGCTGATTTTGATTATACAACTGAGATGTTCGAAAAGGACACGGTAATATTATACCTGAACAAAAAGTGATCAATTCATGACAGGAATCGGGCTCTGATCATAACTTGTATTATTCTTGCAGGAAACTTGGCAGCAGAGAGTTGAGAACTACTGGAAGCTATTGAGTCGAAAGATCAAACCAAACACAATAAGGAACATAATGGACATGAGGGCAAACCTGGGATCATTTGCAGCTGCTCTCAAAGACAGAGATGTATGGGTGATGAATGTCGTGCCTGAAGATGGACCGAACACGCTAAAGATAGTTTATGATAGGGGTCTAATTGGAAGTATACATGACTGGTAAGTTTCTATCATGGAATTTGTTTCACTAAAATTACAACATCATTTTCTATCGTAAATGTTCACATCTATATTTCCCCATGGTTCTCTAATAGCTTGCCCAAGTGTTCGATTTCTCCAGAAAAATTTGCAAAAGTATTATACCTTCTAGATTATGAACTTTGTAGATTCTAGTATAAAGTCTCTATTTAGTAACTCTGAAAAACTTCAGCATCCTTTAATTAAATTAAAATCACATAAATGTCTAGAGTAACTATTACCTATAGGAGATGATTTTCAGAAGCTTAATTGACCCTTTATTTGTAGTCAAGAATGATTCCCTTAAAATGTAAAAGTATTTATTCAAATTCTACTTTTATTCAAATTCCTTTGTACATTCTTTTCTGAAACTCCTACCTCCATTTTTGATAAAGAATTGTTAATCTCCCAACCATCACATTAGCAATCGATAAACCTGTATCCATATGCCAACGTGCATGTTTATATTGCTAGAATGCTTCTTATCAAACCAGTCTTAAACAAAGTAAAATGTATAAATCAATATATAAAGTGGATTTATTGCAGATACATTTCATATGCTGATTGGAGGGTGCGACGTATTACCCTTGAATTTGTTAGCACTCAGATTTTATGATGCCTTATCAGAGTTATCCCTTCCTTATATGTATTCCAGGCAGATTCCGTGATATTTCAATAGGGTTAATTGCACATGAACCCGCCGTAGTATCATTTTTTTGAGCTTACTATCCATGTAATTTCATTTTGGAAGATAGACCCCTTAGATGATTTTTTGGACTCTTTTACCCTAAAGAAATACTCACTAATTTAACCCAGGGGCAATATCTTCCAAGGGTAAAATAGTAAAAAAAATCAGGGTAGTAAGCTCAGGAATGCAATACTAAAGGGGTTCTATATGCAATAAATTCCATATCTAAATGTTGATTCAACAAGTTCAAATTGGATAACGTCAATTATTATTACCATAACTATTTGCAGGTGTGAGGCATACTCAACCTATCCTCGAACTTATGATCTTCTCCATGCTTGGACCGTCTTCTCTGGGATTGAGAAGAAAGGATGCAGTGCTGAGGACCTCCTCATTGAGATGGACAGGATTCTTCGTCCAACTGGTTTTGTAATTGTTCGCGACACAAAAATAGTCATAGATTTCATCAAGAAACACTTGAAAGCTCTTCATTGGGAGGAGGTGGCACGAGTGGATGCTGAGCCTAATGAAGATGATACACAAGATGGTGATGTGATTCTCGTGATTCGGAAGAAGATGTGGCTTGTAGATGATATCCTCAAGGATTCAGATTAAGATGTTTTTTTGGTTGCTTTTGATCAATTTTCTCATAGATTAAAGTTGTTTGTTAGATTGTATTTCTTGATTTCTAAAGTTGTTATGTGATTCTTATAGCTAAAAGGCTTTAATATTCTTTTGCTTTTTGAGATTGTTTTTGTTTAGTTTGTTCACAGATGTTTGAATGGACACTGCAAAATAATGAAACTAATTGTTGCTCAGTTATGAATGTATCAGGCGAATTATATTTGTTTCTTCTGTTCTGATGTATATTTTCGTTTCTTCTAATGTATACGCACAAGGAATGACGTTATGAGTATTCATAATTTTTTTTAAAAAATTTTTTGATTCACTTATGATATTATTATATTAGATTCGGACATATTAAATTTAAAAATCAACAATAGTTCATGCATAATGTTTAAGAGGGTGTTTGGGAGGCTTATTTTTTGGTCAAATGAACTTTTAAGCTAGTTTTTTTTATCCGTTTAGTAAAATGCCAAATAAATTAGCTTATAAGTCTCATTTTAAAAAGCTAATATACCCTAGCTTTTAAAAAAAAATTAGCTTATAAGCTCACTTAAAAAAGCTAGGTGTGACCAAACAAATTATCATTATACTCAAATAATTTTTATAGTGTTTTTATTAAAAAATTAAAAGCCATTAAAAATCAGCGTAACTTATAAGCTTAAAAAAAATAAGCCTTGCCAAAGACTCTTAACTCACCACTTTTGCTATGAGTCACTTACACATGATATATTGGTTTAGAATTAGATCTACAGTTGAGCCATTGTTTGACGGTTAATGTACTGTTTGACAGCAGATTAAGAGTCAAAAGAGAATTAATCACTCCTTTGTGAAGCACAAAATAAGTCATTCAGCTGACTTAATTTACTGTAGTACAAGAGAGAGTCAGAGACTGAAGAGTAATATAATCCTCACGTAACGGATTCGCTAATAATATCTTTGTCGTTGAAATAGATTAACAAATCTAATCATTTTCCTTGATCCACACGCTTTAATCTTTGTCAAGTATAAACACAGGTATTCAATATAAAAACGACTAATCTCATTATCTCAGATCTTTTCAAAAAAAATCTCATTATCTCAAGAGTGGTGTGTGAACAACACTGCTAAAAAAATCCATTCTCGGCCAGACTAAGAAACATATTAGAAACATAAATTAGAATATGACATGCCCAGGAAATATGACAACTAAATGGCATATATAATAGCATCATAAGATGCTCCACTTCAAATCAATAATTTGGATATCTGAAACTTTTACTGTGAATTTTTTTAATAATAAATTCAAAGTTTGGTTGGAAAAAAAAATTGGTTTAAAAAACTATGTGATTTTATACTCTGGCAGGGGTACAAAGGGCTTTACCATTTGGGATAGGAAGTCTTTTTGACAAGTGGAATTATTTTTTAAGTTCCCTTTATGTAGGCTGAATGTTTTAGTTCCATCAAATTGGCGATCACATTTGCTACATTCCCCTCTACGAATCATGATTTAACTCGTCTTTCCTAAACATTTACTACATTTCCCCAAACAAATTAGAAGTTAATTCGACTTTCCTACTTACAATCTCGCAAACCAAAAAACTGAAACCTCTGTTCTTAAATAAAAACAAAAAAATAAAAGAAAAGAAAAAAGGAAAAAAGAAAAACATAAATCCAGTTGTGACATTTACTTCAGAAGCCCTATTCAACACAACGAAACATCATTAATTGGTACACAAGATTTTTGGGGAAATTTGATAATGATACACGTATTAGTACAGGACAAGCAATTCCAATAAGATTCTAAAATCCACAAGGGGAAAAAAAAGGGGGAAAAAGAGCAGAAATGAGAACCATATACCACCAATATCGACAGCATTTTTTTTCTTGATAGGTGCTGAAAAGCTTTATTGTTGACGCTGAAAGCTACTTTTTGAAGGATGCCATGTTTCCAGCTTGGAGCTTTCAATATGGGAATTAGCTTGATCAGTTTATGAGATTCTGCCCTCCTACAAAATACTTGGTGCTGGGAAAAAAAAGAGTAAATGAAAATCATTTTATCGAAAATAAATCAGGGTTTTCTCCAATTACCATCTTCCACAATATAAGCAAATCTAATGAAAAAAAAACCCCTGATAATTAACATGTGTTTGGTGGAGTGAAAAGACACGTCTCTGGGGGATCAGACCACTATACTAGAGTCGTGATGCAAAAGAACGTGGATATCCACATCTGCATTCATAGCTTATTCAATTTGGCACATGCAGACTATACTAAACCATGGCTGTGTTCATATCCGTATCCGTGATGAACAACCATATACGAATATTAAGTATCATATTTGATCCATATCGGCATATCCGATTGGTTAGCATGGCTAACTAAGAAGCTTGCATAATCACTGGCAGAGCAACGTTCATGCACATAAGGGATTACCCAAATTTCAAAATAAAGAAGGATTAGATGAGATGTCTAGATTTGTAATGTATATGCATCTGACAATAATGCATATGTAGCCAACACCAAACAAGTTACACGTTGGAACTTATCGTGGACTTAATGGTTATAATAGTAAAGTGAAACAAAACACAAATAGTATGACCTTTTCATGTAATGTGGCCTACTAAATCAAAACCTTGGCAAGTGAAACCAATTTATCTCTTTTTACCATGTTGCAGGATTCCTTTTACCTTGGAGGCTATATGGATGCTAAGATGAAGTCTTGGTAATTTGACAATAATGTATATGTAGCCAATGCCAAACAGGTTAGAAGTTGGAACTTGTTGAAGACTGAATGGTTCTGATTGTTAAAGCAAAACAAAACACGAATAGTATGACCTTTTCATGTAATGTGACCTACTAAACCAAAGCCTTGGTAAGTGAAATGAACTTGTCTCCATTTAACATAAATGAAGTTTTGGTAATCTGCTAAAATCAACATCTCATGAAACCCCAACTTTTCAAGTTTCTTTTTTGTTTGGTTGGAGAAAAAGTGGCATGAAAAGTTGAATGTGGGGCTCACTTTCCTCCTCCTATCCAACACTCTAGAGAGAGAATTTGTGACGTTAGATTTTGGCTGGTTTGAGAACAATTCCTAATCTCTTTTCCCAAATCCCAACCCACTAGGCCTAGACAGACACACACACACACAAAGTAAAAGAAGAAGAAGAAGAAGAAGAAGAAGAAGAAGAAGAAGAAGAAGAAGGGAAAGGATTTTAGCCTGACAAAATCCCTAATGCGGACTGTGTTTCTATCCAATCTAAAGAAGTACGTGGAAACAAAAACCCCTTCATACGATTTTGAGACAATGCAGTCAGCATGCATGTGAAGCAAATTGCTCATCGGTTTTAAGTTCAGAGTAACCTTTTCGAGAACAAGTCAACAACTCGCTAATAGGATAATCATACACGTGATATTAATTTGTCCTCTATTGACCATCAACACCTGTTCAGATCTGAGTAGTTTCCTTACGACATTTGACAAATATGATCATGATTCTGGCCTTCCACCACCATGTCAAGTACAATATTTTCAGGAATATAATTGTTCTCTGAAATCATGAGGCAGACATTGAAAAACAATGAGAGGGTGTGATCTAGATGGTTAGAGAACTCACAGTTGGCTCTCCCAGAAATCATTTGTTAAGACTATGGAAGATTCACTTGTGCAGAATACCCTTCTTTGCCAACTTCGGTTTCTTCTGTGCATGGTTCTGAATGTACAAAAAAGAATAAACAATAACCCAAACTGCATGTAAGATATATCAGTCAAATTGAGAGCCCAGCGATGGTTAATAAATGCTAACCTTCTGCCTTCCCAAAGCCTCCACATCTGTCCTGTCCTTCCAACTACTTTTACGTAATTTGATTGGCCGGTTTCCAACATATTTACCTGGAACAGTTGCATAAGGAAGTTAAATCTGAGATGAAATAGTTTGACTATAATGAGGAAATTGCATTTTAAAAAATGAGTGCTCTTTTTCATGTCTTCATGCATTAGTAGATAATATGAATCACACACCATTCATTTCTTTCAATGCTGCTGCCAGATCTGAAGGGGTTGCAAAACTGACAAATCCGTAACCCCTTGTTTTTCCAGTCCTTTTGTCTCTGACAACCTGGAAAAGAAATTGTCAAGACAAAGCAAATCATTTACTCAAGTTGGAAACAGTAATACAAACAACATAATCAACAAAATGCCTGTAAGCAGTTGCCGAGCCAGGCAGGAGGGAGAACACATTTTCCTATCTTAAAAAAAAAGAATTACATAATCAAGTTCGATTTAGATCTATTTAACAAGTTAGCGTCATGCATGACAAGAACTTCATAAAGAATTACAGTATATAGTGAAAAGCTTGTAAAACCAACTTCTCAGTTCTCCCTTCTCTCTTTTTGTGAAAAAAGGCTGGGAAGATATTGAGCAAATTGCAGCATATTAATTAACAAAATTCTTAATTAAAGACCTGCTTCACATGCAACAAATTTCACAGCTGAGTGTTTTTATGTGAACTCCGTGCCATGGTAAAATTGCTTCGCTGGATTAGAATTTCAGGAAATATGATGAAATTTTGAAACATCCAACAATATTCTAGAAAGATGGGTAAAGCTGAAAATGTATATTTGAAACAAACGAGATACGAAAATATATATGCTAAAATAATTGTGAGTGATGCTCACAGCCAATTCCATAAAAACAAAGGGCACTGGTCTTGATATGGCTAACTCAAAAATAAATGCAGAAGCACCTTCTCAAAGGCATATATGAACTACAAGAAGATTTTCACGAAAAACTTCTACTATACCTCTACAGATCAAACAATAAGAAAATCTATTACTATTATTAAAAGAACATGACCTTTTGGTCTTTATGTTTGGTGTTCTACTTGTGTCACAATTTCAAAAAATTCCAAGAAAATTATTTACAACTTAAGGTGAATGAAAACTTATTAAAGGGGAAAATTAGGAAAATCAAAACATCTATATCCCACATTTCGTAAAAGACTGTTATAGAAACAAAATTAGATCCACAATATCTCTCTTCTTGCCCTCTCTTTTTCTCTCCCCTCACATTCTCTCTTTCTCTCTCCTCCCTCATTCCAACAGTAAGAATCTAATCCAAAATCCCAAATAAATAGAGAAATTTTTGTTGGGTCCTTTTGTTTTGATGATGATTTACAAAAAATTTACATCTAATGTTGTTTGTCTAGTGTTTGTGTTTTGGTCCTTTTGTTTTGATGATGATTTACAAAAAATTTACATCTAATGTTGTTTGTCTAGTGTTTGTGTTTTGTATCTATTCTAGGCAAACAATATGTTGGAGGATGGATGGAATCAAGCTTTCACGATCATATCCAATAGAGGTTTGCGGAATAGTGGAATGAAGCCTTGCAATTCAAGTTGAAGATCCAAGTTCAAGCTTCGTCCATGTTACCAAGATCAAGCGTCATGAAGATCATTGCTTGGTATAATTAGTTTAGGATTTATATTATGTGTGTTCAATACTTTAAGCTCAATATCATACACACACACATTTATATTGGTTTATATATATATATATATATATATATATTTTTCATGTTTTTGAACATATTTGAAAAATGATGAGTTTTCACTATTGAGAAGTGTAATTCCAAAAATTCTTTTTGTAACATGTTCATTTACATGTTTACAATGATTTCCCAAAGTTTTATATTTTTTAAAATTTATTTGCTACTTTTAAAGGCACTTCAAAAATCAGTTTTACTATTTGATTCATGCTGATAACCTGTTATCATCGACTGGTAAGTCGACTGATGTGTCGACTAAAGAATATGTCTGGAATCAATAAAAAAGTTTCTGTTTCATTTTGGTCGACTGACCAATCGACTGATGATCCATCAGTCGATTGATAAATATAGTCAGTCGACTGATAAATGTCGTCAGTCGACTGATAAATATCGTCAGTCGACTAATGAGCTGAAAAATGCCTATAACGGTCAGTTCATTAATCGACTGATCAGTCGACTGACGACATGATAACGGCTAGTTTTCCAGAATTTTTAGTTTTTATTATTTTGTCTTTTTGTGATATTTTCTCTTGGTTTTTGGGGTTGTTTCATGAGCCTATATATACCCCATGCTATCATACTTCTGAGGCTACATAAGAAATATTTTAATCAAGTTTAAGAGAGTTTTTACAAGGGTTTAAAAGTTTGTTTAAGAAGCTTTTAAGCATTTTCAAGTTTCGGTTTGTAAAGAGAATTTCACAAGAGCTAGAAGAGATCATCATTTGATGTTTGAGCTTTAACTCATCTCTCTCTTGTGTTATTCATTGGAGAAGTTTTCTAAACTCAAACTCTAGCTTTACATTTATATACTTGTTTGATTATCATTGTTTTAAGCTAGATTTCATATTTGAGTTTAGTTTTGATTTCACTCATTGTTTACACACACCACTTGAGCTTAAGTATTTTCATACATAGTATTATTGGGATTATGAGAGTTGTAACAATTAAGTGTGAGCCTACATAGAGTTCTCATCCATTGTAGAGAACAAATTTGTTGTATTTATGCTAAATTTGTGAGATCACTTTGTAATACACTTGTACACCAAGATGAATGTGTGGTGAGAGACGGGATCGTTCCAAGAGGAGTTAGGTAGGTGATAATGCCTAGAGGTAGGTTATAATTCCTAACACATGAGGAAAACACGGGCTAGAGACCAACACTTAAAGGGTGTAAAGTGTGATTACAAGAGTGAGATTGTAAAGTTTTTCGGTGAACTAGAAAATCGAGTGTGTAGAGAAGTTCCGACTTCCAAACCGGGTGTGTCATGATAGTGGAGATCTCCTCGAGGTGAGGAGCAGAGACGTAGATCGTGGGGATGGAACTCCGTGATCATATCGTTTGTTTGCGTTTGTTATTGGCGTTCTTTTATATTTGTGTTTATCATTTATATCACCTTTGTCAATTGCTTGTTGTTTATATTGCCCTATCATTTTAGTAGTTTGTTTACCCTTGTGTTACTTGTATATCATTGCACGTATATTGTTCATATCTCATTTGCTAGGATATATTTGTTAAAAGTTTTAAATTGACATAAATCAGATTAGATTAGCATAAATCCTACTCACCCCCCTCTAGGGTGCTTTCAATTAGTATCATTGCACTTCCTAGTGGCATTGGGTACTTTCAATTTTCTCAATGGATTCGAGCATTACTCTTTCACCCTCTGATCCCAATCTCCATTTCCATCTAAAATTGATTCAAGATCAAGTTTGTGAGTATCGAAAATTTGTTCAAAAATTATTGCAAGAATCCGACAAAGGTATATGATTCAGATTTGCTTATGCTTTTCATGATTTGATATATTTACTTGCTAATTATATTATATCACATTTCATTTGATAGATATCAACTATATATATCTTGCATGAGTCCTCAGGTTCATATCTTGCTCACATGAATATCTCCACACTAATGTATGATATTTGACAATTAGAAGATAAAAGGAAATGAATAATCTATCCAAACATGAATTCATTGAATATTTTAGGATGAAATATTTCAATTTTGTAAAAGTTGAAGAGTGAGTGAAATGAATACAATATAGAAATATGTGCGGTTCTTTGCTTTTTCATGCTATTACTTGTAAACATAGGAAACATTTTTGTTTTGTACTGATCAAATTTTTATATGCTTGAAGATGATTTATCTAAATTCTAAACTAACATCTAATTTTTATACCCCTATCTATATTATCATCAATAATCAATTATAGTAAAAACAGGTCGTACATATAAGTTTGTATTGTGTCATGCACCCATGGCATGCACCGGAGTACTAGTTTATAAACTTTAAAAAAACTTCGACCTCACAACATAGACAAATATAAATAAATAAATATTACAAAAGGATGAGAACTAATCAACTTACCCGGGCCATGTTGAACGTAGGAAACCTTGAAAATGCTTTCGAAAGAACATCATCATTAACTTCATTGCCTAGATCTCCACAAAACAAACGGTAATCATCTGCAGAAATCATAAAGAGTAAGCATTTGTATCTTGCACAAACTATATAAAAAATATGTCCACCGAAAGTGTATAAACGATACAAGTATATTCCCAGATAAAAGAAATCCACTAGAACTGATTAGGCCCTACTATTTGAGATTTGAGAACATTGTGGAGAAAAGATCCATCCAAAATAAAAATATCCAAACTTAAACAAGACAGCCTACCATAATACAATTGCAAGAATGAAAAGGAGTGTTATAGACAACCCCAATGAATTGGGATGAAAACATTTTTCATGTCATTGCTGTTCGAAGGTATTACCAAAGTGCAACGATTAAATCATAAAAAACCTTTCTCAATTCCTTTCTAAAGGTTGTCACAGTTGTTCATGAGATCTATTTACAAGAAATTATTCTTTTCACTTGCATACTAAGCACCGTATTATGCTACATATTCGCAGTTTCTGATTGAGAAATTATTTCCATGAAAGAGCCACAGTCATGCACATGGGCAAGAGTGCCAGTATAATTAGTAGCCCCTTCACTAATCTTACACGAGAAATGCAAAATAGTGAGCAATGTAATGATTCTTCTGCAGAAATCCAATTTCTGTAAATATTTCAAGAAAATAATATTGACAGAAATCTTAGCCCCTCCGCCTCTCAAATATTGGGTTCTATTAATGGGTAGCCTGGTGCACGGAGCTCTTGCAATGTGTGGGGTCCAAGGAGTAGGAACACTTTGGGTCTCATCGATTGTATGCAGTCTTACCTTAAATTTTTTACCAGAGCTGTTTCCAAGACTCAGAATCCATGACCGCCAAGTCACACGACGACAGACCTTACTGTTGCACGAAGGCTCACCTTCAATATTGGGTTCTATTGCAAGACATAGTTCATCCCAGCTAAACAAGGGGGGATATTTAAATAATAAATGTTAAGTCCTTTTTTGATGTATAACACAATCTCCTCCATATCATGTTAACTTATGCCAATTATTTAAACTCCATTGTTGACAATTAAACTTTATCAATATGAGTACAAACATAGCTAACCAAAATCAGTCTAAAACTTACTCTCAGGCCACTCTGCCAATGTCGGGTCCTCCCAAGATTGTCCAGCCGCCTTTCGTGGTATCGCCTTCTTCTTTATTTCTGCCTTGTGTTCAACCTCACTGTTTGCAAGCGCAGCTTTCACGCTTTCTAAAGCCTCGGGTGTAATAGTCTGCGCATCCCTTTGAAACAACTGCTGTGCCTATTAACATTAAAAAAAGAGCTAATTTGTGAATCATAAGTCTATAAAGCACAGGGTAAATTTTAAAAGAAATACTGTTTTTACCAAAAACAAAGCATTGATTAATCAAATTATTAGATGAAGTTCTAGGTTTTCTTCGATTGTCAACAAAAAGAAAGGATCTTTTCATTCGTTATCTGTTCAAATTTAAAGTTTTAACTTGGAAATTGCATAGAACAAGAAGAAGCGGTGAGATTACCTGCTGATACTGAGGCAGCGCGTAGACACCGGGGGCGGCGGCGGAGTAAGAGGGAGCGTAAGCCTGCGGCGCTAAATTCACCGGCGGCGTCGCTGAGTAGAGATTAGGGTTTTGCTGGAGATGAAAGGGCAAAGGAAAGTAGGAATTGGGATTCGCTGGGGGAGGATAGGATGGGTATTGGGAGGAGGAATTCGAAGCTGAGCCTGGATCAGATGACATCCTGATGTGATATCAGAATTAGGGTTTTGAATTTGGGGAATTTTTTTTGGAGAGATTTGGGGATTTGCGTTTGGAACGAAGGAAGAGCGAGGAGAAAGAGACTTGTGCAGTTTGTTTCGGATGCGGATCCGATAGTGAAGCGGTTTGGATTTCGTGTTGGATAATTAGCGCTTAAATACCTTATAGTTTCTCCTACATTGCACTTGCATACCCTCACTTGATTTTAACAGTGCTAATATGCACTAAGGTTTCTAAAAGTGTCCTTTAATACCCCATGTTATTCAAGAATAAAAGTTTTTCCTCTAATTTTCCCATGTGACGCTCACAAGCTAAGTTTAGAATTTCTCGGTCCTTAATGTTTGTTGATTTTATTGTTAAGTTCACCATAATTCCAGTGTGAAATATAATTAAATTGAGTTTAAAAATGTGTTTAAAAGTTGATTCAATTAATATTAAGGGCTAAAAATTCATAAAAGTAACTTGTAGGATCACATAGGAAAATTTAAGGTTCTCGTGTTTGTATTCAGGGGCAGTGGCGAAGCCATGTGTAGCTTGCCCTGGGCAGTTGCCCAGGGCAAGATTCAACTGCTAAAAGATGCACTAGGCAAAGCAAACTCAAATGTACCAAAACCAGAAGAGAAGAGTCCACATGTAAATGAAGTTGGGAGTCAAATCAAGCCAATTAGTGTACTAAACAGCTATGAGAAGAAAGAGAGGCCATGGGGAAAAGAAGAAATTGAAATGCTACGAAAAGGGATGGTAAAATAGCTATGAGAAGAAAGAGAGGCCATGGGGAAAAGAAGAAATTGAAATGCTACGAAAAGGGATGGTAAAATATCCAAAGGGAACGTCTCGGAGGGAAAAGAAGAAATTGAAATGCTACGAAAAGGGATGGTAAAATATCCAAAGGGAACGTCTCGGAGGTGGAAGGTGATCTTAGAGTATATTGGCACCAGAAGATCAGTTGAAGAGATACTGAAGGCAACGAAGATTGTTCTTTTGACAAAGCCAGATTCTGCTGGGCGCATCAGCCCTCGGCTGCAGCCACAGATTTCTCGACAATGTGTTCCCCAAACGCAACCTGACGGTGGTTGACACAATCGGCAACATCGGCCTCCTCTACTTCCTCTTGCTCAACACAAACTCCTTATTTTTTCGTCCAGGGCAAAAAATAATCCTGGCTACGCCACTATTCAGGGGGCTTAAATGCAATATACCTACTCTCCTAAATTTTAGATTTTCCCCCTCTCATTGAAAGTTCAGTTATTTGCGCATTACATATACGAAGTCCAGCTAGAAAAGTTTGAAGTTATGGAGGGTTTTGTGAGAGTGGGTTTATGTGAGAAAAGCGAACGGGGGTTTATGTGGGTTGGGCCTAGCGTAAACCGTGGATTCTAACCCAAACGTTAAAGCCCACCATATAAATATGGTGGAGGCTAGAACGAGAACGATTCATCATACGGTTTAGCAGCAGCAGGAGGATGAAAAATCCTCCGTGCTTGCGATTTCTCTTGAAAAAAACAAGATTTCTTTTAAAAAAAACCTACGGTTTCGCTTGTAAGAAAAAATTCTAGTGTTTCAGCCCCAATTACAAATGTTTCTCCTTCTCTGAGATCGAAGCAACGCTCAAAACATTGGGGGAACGATGAGAACGAAGAATTCCTCAGTCTTGGTACTTACTTTGATCTCCAATTCGTTAAATTCTGATTCTAATCCTTAGTTGTAATGGCATTGCTTAATGCTGACAAGCTTAGAACTTTGCAGGAATCTGAGTGTATTTTATGTAGGGTTTTGAATTTGAGCGGATTGTCCATTAAAAGGTCATTTCACTTGTTTGTAGTTTTTTATAGTTCTTTTTTAATATTTTCCCTTTCATGTTACCGGCAATGTGATTTACATATTGGACTGTTATATGCCTAATTTCTGCTATTTTTTGAGAACAACGACGAGTAATGAACTTCCGCATTTCATTAGCAAGAGTTCAATGAAACACCTGCACCTACGAAAGCAGAATGTCTCCCTGTTTACAAAATCTACATAAATGAAAACATTTGCTTTGTTTGTGTAGGAGGATATGGATAAGAATCCCAGCCTGGAACAATATATCGGAAATAAGTAGCCAAAACTGACCGAAAAAGACAAAAGTTTAGGCTGATTAAATATAAGTAAGCATTACTCCTTTACATTAGTGTTTTCCCACATTCATTATCATCAAGGCTAGCATCTGAATCTGGAATAACATGTTGTCCTCTGATAATCTCAGTAGTACATTTCACTTCCTTTCATGAAAGCAACTTGGACCGGTCAGAAGTGATAGGACAATATAGATACACTATATTGAAGTTCTACCTATATTGTTGTAAATTCTATTGTTGTGTTCTCTACATACAACCCATATAATATAGCAGTCATCCCAAGACCTCATGTCCCTCTTTATTTATGAGAATAAACTGACATCGCTAGTTGTATAAGGTTGTAGTGAATAACGACGCTTAAACCAATTTATGCATTCAAAACTGTACCTTAATCATTTCGTAATTGTATAAATGCAGAGAAGAATCTTACATTTAGTGATACATTTTGTACCAATTTGCATGATGCATACACAATTTTCTATTTGTTAGAAATAATGTTCTTATAGTTACATTCTCTGCACTATTTCAATTATTTGCAGCATTTTCTTCCAGGTTGCCATACAGCTTTTATTTTGCAGTTGTATATAGCATAAAGAATAGGTTACAAGTGGACAGAGACTTGGAGGCTGTTTTTTTTTTGGGTTAAACAGTATGGCTTTGAAAATTTTTCTTCATTGTTGCCAAATTTCTTTTGGATCTGTGGAGAATTATCTCCCCCTAACTTGTTTTCTAACTTTGTTGTCACACAATTTATCTTCTTTTTGAAAATTTTTATTATATTTCTGATAAAATATGCATGTAGGTGACATCTCGAGGTATTGAGCACTTGATTTACTCATTCTCCTCACTCCCCTTTACCACTATGTCGATCTTTTCATATTGAAAATCAGTGTTAACTTGAATGTTTCAAATTACATTTAATTATTCATTTATTTTGAAGATTATGGAGCACAACAACAACCACACACGATAAGGAATTGTAAGCAACAAGAGAACATATGGAATTTTTACATGGTTCGGCTAAAGTGTCTTCCTCCACAGTCTCTCACTAAGGAAATTCATGACACTTAACAACCAATACAAGTTTTGAACAGTGGAAACTTTGTAAATCCTCTCTCACCTCCCACTACCCCTAGAATCGTAGTACACCCCAACTCAAGAGCCAAAATGGACGATATGCCTCAACACTTCGAACCCGAGTACACCTACACTCAAGGGCCCCTGAGGATCCTCCCTCTCCAAAAGATGTCATAGCCAATAGTAGCACATACCCTGTTAACGCCTCTGAGAAGTTTAAGGAGCAACCCATTAAAGTCATGAGTATCATTAATGCACTATTTCATTGTCCTATGCATTAATGATCTCCAAGCTTCCTCATACAGCTTCCATCTTTCTCATGAAAACCTTTAAGCTTCCTCTTTGACTTCTCGTTTCTCTAGTTAATTTATGGACTTTGATTTACGGGATTTTGAGAGAACCAGCAATTTGTTAAGTACCTTCTAACATTTTGTAGAAGAACTTACCTCGACGGCGATCTCGTCGGAGATCGGATCCCTCGTCGGCGATGGCGAGGGGCAACGAGGACTGTTGATGGCGAAGCTCGAAGGGCGACGAGGACTGGTGATGGCGAAGCTCGTACTCGCTTGCGAGGCGAGGGGGTGTCGCTTGCTGGCGTGGAGAAGATTTCGCCTGCGGAGCCTGAGATCGCCTACGGGCGTGGTGCGGGCGAGGAATTTCGTGGACCTCGTCTGTTCGAGTGTGAGCGGATCTCGCCAAGAGCAAACTCGCCTGCGGGTGTTTTGAAATGTTGCCTGTCTCCCCTTTATCTCGCCTGCGTGGGTGGGATCCAGCTGGACCGCACAAATCTGCCCTAGGGTTTCCTTATAAAAGGGAAACCCTGTTCACGAGATGGGGCTAAGCCCAACTTCAGCGATTTCAACAGAGAGGAATATTTCTCTATGGCGGCGGCTTTAACTCCAACGGAAATTCTCAGATTAATTTGAGAATCAAATTTTTCGGTCAAGAAAAATTTGCATTATTCCTGTAGCATTTACTAGAGTGAAGGTAGTTGGTGTTGTGAGAGCTCTTGTTTGAGATTCTCACTTTTACACGCTTTGTAATTTCCTGTGGTTAAATAAGAAATTAATTGTGTGGCCCCCGTAGACGTAGTCAAGTTTGCCGAACCACGTATATCTGTTGTCCCGCCTCATTTACTTACTGTTTACCTGTGTATTTGTTATTGCTTGTATTGGTTAGTTTGAGTTTAGCTTAAACTCAAACTTGGGTTGTTTCTCTCGAGATAATTAGCTTCCGCGACGGTGTGGACATCACGCGTCCCAATAATTGGTATCAGAGTCCTTATTCAGATTGGCGGTGGTTGAGTTACTGATCTGAGGTGGTGGTTCACAAGGTATTTGTTGAAGGATTTATTAATACAAGCGAAGAATGGTGTCTACAAGTAAAACAGTTAAAGTGGGAAAGTATGAGATCGAGAAATTCAATGGGAAGAATGATTTTTCCTACTGGAGGATGCAGATAAAAAATTCATTGATTTCGTAAAAATTACACAAGGCGTTGGCTGGAAAAGAGAAGCACAAGAATATGTCTTATGAGGATTGGGAGGAGCTAGATCTGGAAGCACAGGCGTCGATTATCCTTTGCCTTGAAAGCGGTGTTGCTTTCTTGGTGGACGGGGAGAAAGCGGCTGCGGACGTGTGGTTAAAGTTAGAGAGCACCTTCATGACGAAGAGTCTAACAAACCGGATCTATTTGAAATCCAAATTGTACACTTGCAAGATGGAGGAAGGCTCGTCAATCCGGGAGTACATCAACAAGTTCGATAGGATCTTATCGGATTTGAAAGACATTGAGGTGACAATGGAAGACGAGGATCAGGGTCTTCTACTATTTCTATCTCTGCCGAAGTCTTATGAGAATTTGGTTCAAACACTGATGCTTGTGGGTGATAGTTTGTCG